CAGTTGTGTGCCTAATCATGCATTCATTACGATCCTGTGGCTTTAATAAATCGTTATTTATTTTTCGTTATTTTAATTTGACTTCCTGCTGTATGAGTTTCATTAATATTTCCCTTTGTTCTATTTTAATAAACATGTTTTGTGAAATTGTGCAGTTCCCAAGACTACCGCAATTCGTTAGAATAACAATGTTGTGAGATCTCGTACATACATATTTGTTCAAAGATAAATTAGAAACTGCTAGTATTTATTTTGTCACTTTAACACGTACTTCCATTAGGGTATTATATTTCAATCAATACTTCAAATTATAAACGAAAGCGTGTCGAATAACAAGCATTTACATTCGCGACCTTCTGTTGGTCTGAATCAGAAACGCGGTTGTTGAAAATTCTAATCCAATTGTCGCTTTGACCTTGCCCAGACAATATCTCATTTGTATAAGGTGAAAAGCTTACTAGAGAATATTAGATAAATAGTTCTTATAGTCTTGAGAAGAAAAGATTCTTGGTTAATCTTTAAACGAACACAGTTTATGCTTCGTCAATATTACTATTTGCGTGCAATTAGGTATTTGTTTTTTTTTTTAAAAATGCTGTTATAATTTCCTTGGTTTTGTTAACTCGCCTTCTTGTATGTCTTTTCGGGTGAAATTTTATAATTGATTTTAATTAATTTCCCGATGAGCTTAGATACTTGAAATTTGGATCATAGCTCAGAAGCGGATGACAATGCATGAATATGTGAAAAAAAGAAGAATAATATAATAAAAAAAAAATTTGTACCATATTTTATAACGGACTAAAAATTATAATATTTATAGCTTATAACAAAATTTAAAAATTTTACATACGTGATTTTTTTAAATTGATATAAGTCAGAGTTTGATTTTTCGATTGTCATTATTAAAATATGTTGTTATAACATAGTAATAGTCGAAATTAACTGCATAAATTTATAATTATCATTCATTTGTGATGAATATTATTATTAATATAAGAAAATGGCTTTTACTGTTAGATAAAACACAACTACGAATAATTAATTATAGGAAAAATTTGTCTTTCTGTCTAGGCATTAAACGCGACGCCGCGGCTCTAGCCAAATACTTAAAACCTGCCAATAACTTGAAACCGTCCAAGTGCTAGTCGGACTCGACCACGAAGTGTCCGTAGCATTATCTATAAAAACGGCAAAAAAGTCATCTCAGGTGTATGGGAGCCCCACTTAAATATAGCTATTTACAAACTATCACGGTTCATGAGACACCCTGGTGACAGACGGACTGTATGGGAGTCTTAGTAATAGGATCCCGTTTTACCTCTTGGATACGGAACCCTAATAACGGAATCTTAATAGACGAGAGCACTCGCCCTGTTCGAAAATTGTCAACGTAACTTAATAATTATCTACTTTCATTACACATTCTCTTCAGACACCTGCTGCTTGAGAAGCGTGACACAATAATTTTGCTACATATAATTTTTCTATTCAATGTAGCTTCAAATATAGGTAAGTTAATTTAAAAAATAATTGTTCATAAAGCGGTAAGGTGGTCATTTCTGTTACTTTATTCACTTTCTGTGGTTAAACCATTAAGCAATGTCTGACTATGGATAGCGCAAGACGTGCTAGCATTATTCGATGTGCGATTGAGTTTTGTGAAAGATAAACAGTTGTCCTACGTTATATAACACAAAGATGAATAATATCAGTAATCTTTAAGGCCAAATGACAATATTTCTATGATTTAATTATGAGGTTAGATGTTGTCTTAATTTATGGGCATGTGTTGATATGAGAGACAATTGTAGTTTAATCCTTGATCAAGGTTTTATAATTGTTTGTGGAACGAGGGGTAACTTTTCTGAAAACATAACGTTCTGTGTCAGTTCCTTTTTTCGTAACTTATGTTTGACTCCTACTGACAATAACTTACCGTAGTCAACATCAATCCTGATGACAGGCTACGGGATCTCCCAGAAGGGATTATCGGGCCTATGCTAACCCGAGAATTACTTCAGTAATTTGGGTATTGTGTGCTTGTGCATCTATGTTTGTAAGAATATGTTCCGAGTGAAGAAATCTATGTGAAAACTACTGAAAACTTCGTCAACCTAACAGTTCCATTTTATCCCACTTTTAACTCGTATACTGTTTCTACGATTTTGGAGACGTTGTTCCATATCTGTTCTAAAAAAATCTTTGTTGGTTTCCAAAATCCAAATGATTTTGGAAACTAATGTTGTTCTATTAATATACTTATCCATTATTGTTGTTTTATACCCGAAAACCACCGCTTCGGCTAAATTACTTTTTTATGTGATATGGTGACAAGCAAGCAGACTATTACCGTCACAGAACAAAATGAACGACACTTTTTGGGATGCAGATTAGTTGCCAAACTGAGTATGTGTACTCGATTACCTCACTCACCAGACAAAACGTAGAAATGTATAAAATACTTCCACTTTAAGCTCCTGCGAAGTAGTAAGGAGGCTCGTACCTGCGAATGGTCTGCTGCGTGGTCCTACCGTATCAGAGGGCTTATGGCGTCCTGCTGCCTTTATAACAGAAGAAGGAGAAAAACGAGTATGTGGTTCACCCGAAGTTAAGTGGTTATTGAGGAACATCCAGAACACCTATTTCGTGTTCTCCTTTTTCATTGGGTGTCCTTTTATGCAAACAATGGTGAGAATACCACATCAAATGTGGAGGGGTCTTTAGTCTTTGACCATTTGGATTTACATATTTTTACATTGTTCTTCTACTCATTGTATGGCCTATTTGTTGGCTTAATCTTATAGACACTTTGCTTTCATGAATTTTATGAAATTTTCCTTTGCTTGCCGACCTCACATGAATTGGCAATAAACAGGAATCTCGCCCCGTGTTCTAAACCCGCTAAAGAAACATAATTATGGAGAGTTCTATTTCTACAATACTGTTTCAATATGTTATAGTACGCCACTTAAATCGTAATTAAATACTTTTCTAGTTGTTCAAAAATCCTTAACGAAAATTTTACTTTAGGTTACTCCAGGTATACTGTAAAACTTTTTTATTATAACTGGCGTGTTTAGGCTTAATTTTATAAATGATAGTATCCTCTGCGATTGCAAATCTACAATTTCATTCAATTAATTTGTTGTAATACAAGAAATCAATAAAAGATTATTTGATTACATTGCATGACGATGAAATCGTGCTAAAACAAGAAATCATTAACAGATTATATGATTACAGTAGGTAAATGATTTATTAGGTAATTGCTACTCTACGTGATTAAGGCTATGGAAACCTTCATCCACACCCTTAGAATGCCTGCACCAAAAACTTGACCTCGGTCGGCCTTGGGTAAATGGAAAATTAAGAAAATAATATTTGCAAATATAATATTTTAAATTCAATTTCCCTAGTGAGTACTTACTTAGGAAATCGAACAATTTAATACTGACTGTCGTTCACGTTTTATGCCTAATGACCGGGTAGTTATTAATAAATGAAGCATTGCAAGTAAATATAATTCTTAAGTCGGAAACCTTTTTACGGTTCACAAAAGCATTTTCGGAACGTGACCTCAAGTCGTAAACGTGAACTTCGCCTCAAATTTCGTTCAACGAGTTCCTATTTATACACCCTTTCCAGGAAAGGGCGTGGTTTTAAAATTTTGCCACGAACTTATTAATTTCCTCGAATATTTGCAACCGTTGCTAAGTCATGTTTACCCTGGAAGATTCTTCTATTTCCTCGAATTATGACGAGTGTTTATAAATAAAAAGAGTGGTAATGAAGATCTATATATGATATAGAAATAACCATAACTTAATAATGTAAGGGGATAATAGGAACGAGTCTTAGCAAAAAATTTCAACGTCTGCGAAAGTATTCACTATCCACTTTAAGGATAAACTAACTTACAAATTATTACAAGTACAAAGAAGTTTCTTTGTTCTAGTTTTTATGGATCATCTTATTATAAAAAAAAGTAAAATAACGGTCTATACATGTCCCACTGCTGGGCAAAGGCCTCCTCTATACAGAGGGTATCAGGGCATAGTCCACCACGCGTCCCCACTGCGGATTGGCAGACTTCACATATCTTAGAAATATATATTTTTTTGTTATTATTTCGAAAATATGCAGGTTTCCTCACGATGTTTTCCTTCACCGCGGAGCACGTGATAAGTCAGCACTTAAAGTTAAAACACTTCATTGGTGCCGGCACCGGGGATCGAACTCAAGTTGCTCGAGTATATTGAATTATGGGTGAGCGCCCGGACACTAAGCTAACACGGCCCTCATCATCTTATTGTACAAATATAATTCAAATGTAATTGAGGTTCTAGAAACGCTGTTTTTTTATAGTAACAATGACAATTGTTCATTGAAATAAGTTTGGATTACGTGTAAACAACCTCGCTCCCCCAAAGTATAGTTACGTTATAATTTCACATGTTACCACTGCACTAGTTTGTTATTCGACACTTGTGTACAGAGTATTTTAACGTCTAGAATTTAGAGTTGTGTATCGGTGACGTCACATGTCTAAATTATCATCAGATGTATAAACAGGTAGACATGCGCGCATGCGACGTGATACTGATCAAAATGTGCGTCGTAGACTGAGATAACGACGCCACAGTCCACGCTAGAAGAAAGGCATTGGTTGTTACGCAACTGTTTTATTAAGTCTTTTCCCATGATCTTGCGCCTGACTTCGCGAGACTTTATTCGTCATTCAAACATCCGATTTTTATTGTCTTCTAATTCGGCATGGGAATTAGAGATAACCATCGATCCATTGTGTTTGATAACGCTGAATGTAAAAACTAGACAACCTTACTACGTAACTGAAGTACTAACCAAGCAGTTAGCATACTATAACTCGAATATAATTGTGTTCGTGTTTAACTTCCTTATTTGACATTTCACTTGCCGCGAATAAAGTGGCAAGAGTTTCATAAGGGAAATTAACGAATAGAAAGCGCATGTGACAGTGTTGATCACGGAGCGCGATTGTGGTGTTCGAATTAGCGCGCTCCCCTGTAGAGGCATAGAGGTGGGGGGCGCCCTCTGCGGTGCGGGGCGTGAGTGTCGGCTAGTGGTGGCCGGCAGTCGCATACATCCCGCGAACGCGTGCGTACCGCTGCCAAGCTGGAGTGTCCCATAGGCCCGGTATGCTTGGACAAGCCGGTGGCGCCGGACGGGGCGGGCGCGATGGCCCTCCGCCCCGTCGGCGAAGTGGCGGTGCGCTCGGAGCCCTCGCTACTGCGCCTACTTGACGTCGACAAAAACGGCCAACTGACCCGCGCCCGCGATCGTCTGTCCTCCTTTTGTAAGAAACTCCGACGCACCATCAGTGAGTTGCCCATTGTCAAAAGCGCCCCGCGTATCCGCCTCTGAACGTGCCCAAACACCATCACTACCATCAGATCATTACGTTATTTGTTAGTTTTCCATGCATCGTTACATTGCCACTTTAATGTTCTAATTTTGCTTTTGTGTTTACCGCGACGACCAGGCGACGTGGATACTCCTAAAAAGACCGAGCTGGCTACGGAAAAGAAGGCGGCCACCTCGCATCGTAAGTGCTAGAACTGGCGCACAAAACTACCTCCTAAGTTGTAGCTTTAGTGTTTAATGTCACCGTGCAGCTGAACGAACGTTACAAGGTTTCAGCTCCTGATCGCAAATAATGTAATTATAGATGCTCACATTGGAGTTGAAAAGTTGTAACAGTCCATATTCATTCTAAAAAAACCTTTAAGGCTGCCTTGAGTTTTTCAATTTCACGTTCGTTTACTTAATATTTTTGACGCTTTATCCACATGATGTTCGTAGATGTGTATGCCATTTACGTGTTAATTGTTGTTCTTTCTTGTTTAGTTGTAGATGTAAAAAGATTAAACTCGTACTTTGTCGCGTGATTTCAGATACTTACCGTACAGTCCGTCGGATATATTTGTACATTATATGTAAACCTATCTATTAATAAGTTTTTATACACTACAAAAAAAATGTCGTTAGTTGTTACGATCCAATAGTGTTAAACAAATTTTTTGCGAAGCAAATATTTTAAATGGGTTAAGATCAATAAGCCATTTAAATTTTAAGTAGCATTAAAATAATTATAACATATATTTACGAGTTTTAAAGCAAACATTTTGTATATTTTTATGTTATTATGTTAAACGGTCACGCTTTAATTTACTGATTTTTTTAACTGTCTTTACATAAAAACGTTGCTACGTTGGCTAAACATGCTACGTTCGCTTTCAAATTCGCAAATTAATGTTATTCAGGTATACTTATAGCCATTTAACTTTCTAGGTCAGTGGTGAATGTATTAGACAACGAAAATAAACCACAAGACAGAGTATATCCGTTGTCAATATATTTTGCCTATGAAAGCATGCAATTGTGTTTCTTTTCCTAATCGTTTGTTTCTTTAGGTGCTCGCATTACTAAATGATGTTTGGCATGTTGATGTTGTAATTAGAGATAACGGTTCTTAATTATTCTGATTATATCGGATATGTTGTATGTTTAACATATAAATGTGACAGTGACATAAGTTGTATGATAGAATACGTTTAGTTATATTTATCTATGTGTTTAGTTGTATGCCGTCTATAGTGGGATGGCATGAAAACGTGTCGTAACATACATATATGTCTCTCTTTAAACACGTAGTAACTCAACTGGGTAATACCGCACCCATGGTCTTATTTACGCTGACCCGAGCTCACTCCACCCTTGTTTATCGATATGTTTATCTAACCACTTTTTTCTCTGCGTGGCGATATTCTGTAATGTATTGCTACGAGCTGGGGGATTGGTGTAAAACACCGGTGTCAACCTTTATTTAAAAACAAAACGTGCGCGGCGGCCCCCTTTATGCAGCACAAATCCTTCACTACGTGTGCGATGGTTCCTGCCTTATCGCATCAATCCTCCTCGTTCACTTCTACAGGTGTAACTGCCCTCGCGTTGTCACAACAATCCGCCGCGTACACTTCTGCACCCCTTCTAACCTGTACTAATTTATCTTTACTTCTTTTACTTACCTCCTCTTCAAGTTCCGCAGTAACTATCAGTCTAGCGGGCTATGGCCCCTTTTATAGGCCGAATTTCGTTCGCCTTGCATATGATGTTCTCGAATAATTTAGATCGTCTCTTTAAACAGAAAGTTCCCCAATAAGATCATTTTTTTACTCCTCACTAACAATTTAAAACGAAATTACGTACTTCATTCAAAACAGTCAAGAGATTACGTTGACACGCAAGACGTCAACCCCGCAATCGTAACTGTATTTTATATGACCGATACTGTAATGTAACTTTTTCCGTTCCATGTTTCTTTACGGGAGAAAAAAAGTAGCTATTGCTAACAAAACTACTTTCTTAGTCATAGCTGTTCAGAATAACTGGATTTTATTTTCTAGGACCTTCATAAAACTCAGATCAGCTGTGGTGGGGGTAATTAATTATTTAACTTAATAGATTTATCACTGATACTTAATACAGGGAGGTATAATATATAATACTAAAGTATTTATAATATAATACTTAATTTCGTAAAATATTGACGGCGACATAATTTTTGTACCAAACCTTATAACGGTGGTTAATGTCAAGCCTATTATTAGAGTTTTAGTCCAAAGAGCAGGTAAAATAATTGTGCCTAAAATTAAGCAGGTTTCTTGTTCATATGAACATTTATTTACTTCTTTTCCATTTTGGCGCTTTATCGTGAATACACCAGCAGCATAGTGGAAAAAATACACCAGCAGCATAAACCTTTGCAGCTAAGTTGATATTTAAATAACTGCATGACAGAACAGTGTGATTATATAAGGAATTAATTAATAGATATTATTTTGGCAGTACTTGTTTGTATTTATTGAAGTAAAACTTCTTTAGGCGCGACTAGGGAGTAACTCAGATTTTTCCTGACGGAAGTAACGCTTTTTCTGACGGAAGTAACGTCATATGTATGTCATATTTTTAAAATATGACATATACTTATGACGTTACTAAATATTAAATCATTTCAGTGATATATGCCGTCAACGCCAAAGAAGTTTTACTTCAATCGCGCGTAAAGGTTACACGCATACACTTTTTTTTATAAACGATCCGTGCATAGCATATAATATTTTATTGCATCATAAAATGTTAGTTACATCGAGTCTCTTAAATACGGTTAATAATATTACGAGACACTATTTATGTGGGGCATTTTATAAATATACGATAACTAGTTTTTTTTGACATTTAAGATGGGGAGCGAACGGAAGTTCCCAATGAGCCGCAACCTGGTCGGTTAGTCCGAAATGTCAACTAACTATGGATATTGCAAAATTCCTAGCATAACGCATTTGAATGTTGCGTTTCTAACTAACGAGCACTACAGATTATTAACTGCGTTGGTGTTAAAGCTTTAAAAGTTTCTTTCTTTTAATTTTAAAAAATAAATGCGGCATGTGTAATCACCTGTCTAGCCTATATTGAAGAAGTTATCTGTACATAGTGTAAAACAAAGTCGCCTACTCTGTTTTGACGATTTAATCTTTTAAACTACGCAACTGATTTTAATGGAGTTTTCGGTAATAGAAAGTCATTCAAGAGGAAGATTTATATGTAGTATACCTGCAATATTGTAGATGTAGTAGATAGAGACAAGCCAAGGAATTCAAAGATTTGTAAAGTGATGTCGTAACAAACATATTTTTGTGCGCTTGTATTGCAAACGTTGGCTAAACCTTACAAGATCAAATGTATAAAGGAATAAATATTGTATGTTGCACACACCATGGTAAAAAAATACATTAAAAATGACAATTACCACCCGTGCGAAGCTAGTGTGGGTCGCTAGCATTTTTACTATTTTAATTAACGACAACTGATAAAACTGAAATATTTGCATTGAACAATAAATACATATCACTTCTTTAGTGGTCACTTAAAGTTAAGTGATTACTTAGTTCCAAGAGACACCTACCAACATGTGAGGGCTAGTAGATACGCTGACGACCTTTAAATAAAGTGATCCCCGGTTACCTCACTCACCAGTATCATAATTTCCACTTCGCTGGACTTCAGTTAGGCCATGGTACTTCGCGGACGGCCCTATGCATTCGTGCAGCAATAGAAGCTGTTGCATGATCCTAACATAGTTAAAGTTAAGTTTATGTATACTTTATGTATCTATTACACTGAATTATATATATTATTATATAAGTTTCATTTTATTTGCTGTTGTAATTGGATCATATAATCAAATGTAGTCGTATGAGAGTTCTATACGACTAGGCCGCCGAAAGCCAGAATAGGGTAATTGGGAAATTATTAACTGTAAACAACAAGTTTTATGGTATTCGCATGAATGAAAATTAATTGTGTTTAATATTACTGAAAGTAATTTCGACTGTATCAGATCATCCAAAAAATACTGTGCCTGTCAAATGGCATCAATTTCAAAGTATCGACGAAGCTTTGTTTTAACGAACTTTTTTCCCTTATATTGATCAAACCACTACAAAAGGGTTTTTTTAACACTGTAAATAAAAGAAGAATCGGCATGGTAGAAAAAAATATGCTATACGGTCCGTTGTATTTCTGAGGGTATGGTTTATCAAAATTTCAGCCCTTCAAAAAATTACGCTATAAAGGAAACGGTGAATGTATTTTTGATCTTTAATTATTTAGAACATGTTTAAGGTCCAAACGTACAGTGCTTGAAGTCTTATCCAAATGTAGTACATTTTGAAGATCAAAGTTAAATCACTTCACGAATACCTATAGCAAGAGACCAAAGACATTTTTAGAGTCTGACTATGGCAGTAAAGCCATAGTTTTTTTTTATGTTGTTGCAAGTACTGTATAAATCAAATCTTAAAATAATTGTATACTTGGTTTATGTTAAAAGCTTTTGTCGCAATAAAATATATGCAGAAGAATTATTGTGTTTATAATGCGCAAAATGTGCAGGGTAAGTGAGGTAACCAGGGCTTACTTTAATTAAAGGATGTCAATCTTTTAGGCGTTGTAGATATCCATGTGCGGTGGTGATCACTTAAAATCAGATGAACCGCCCACACGCTTATATTAAAAATCCAAACGTGCTTTGACCAGTGTTGCCACGAACAATATAGCGTGGAAGTATCTGTCAAACCTACTTAGTCAACAAATGATCGTTTCAGAGCGACTAACCGAATTTTAGCTATTATTACTTATACAGATATGCATTTCCTTATCCCTTCCCATAGTCATCGTTTTTATTTCCAAAGAATGATGTGGAGTTTCAGATCGAACAATTTATTCCTTTGTGTCAGTTACCGCTACAGACATAATAGTTTATTATTAACCTTGTGCCCCGTTGCTCTGTGAAGTTGTGCACTCGGCCGTGAGTGCACGACGTTGTGCGTTTAATCTGTGGGCGCCATATTGCCCGGGCTTCCGGGAAAGTCTCCAAGCACTTATGTACCCGTTTCCCGTTAATTGTCGTTTCCTGCCTTTGAATTTCCACCGATTTACCTAAATCACTCGTATTTATATGTTCTCGAATTTGTTCGTTGGACGGTAATATTTTTGCGTTAATTTTTTAAGTTTTTTTCTTAGTTATATTCACAGAGGTTCACATATAAAAATATAACATTACGCATTATGATTAATTTGGTAACATTTATTTTTGTATAACATTATAAGCATCTGTTACGAACGGTTACATCAAATATAAATACTCTTTGGTAACAGGGAAAAGTTTTGAAAGTCAATGACAGACTAAGCTCAAACAACTGTTGTTAAAAACTATTCACAGCAGGTATCTCCAATATCGATATCCCCTATGGAAGGAATTTTTCCCAGTTCATGGAAATTCGTGGATAGCATGAAAGTTTCTTTGAATCATACTATTTTGAAACATGAGCATGATGATGGCTTGTTATTCCTTAGAAAGTAATATCGAAGGTGCCAGTTTTCATGTAAATACTAGTGAGGTCTCTCCTTCCTCGGATATCGGAATTCTATAGAGTTTTTTTGGTTAGATTAGGAACCATTTTGACTCCATTAATAAAAACAACGTATATACTGAAAATTTACCCCTTGAAGTCTTTATCGAAGTAATTATAGAACCATATCGTAATTGTTCCTATAACTATTGAAACACAATAAAATTACTGCCTCAGCAATTTGTTACTTCTTTAATATATTCATCTCTGTTAAGTATTGATTGTCTATGATCCGGTTATGTTTGATTTATAAAACACGAGAGCGATTATCCGAATGGCTAATAAATGTTATTAGGTGTATCCGATCATGGAATGAATTGCTCGTGTGGCTTGCAGGCAAGGACGGCTCGAAGGTGACGACCGTCGTGGCGACGCCGGGGCAAGGCCCCGACCGGCCCCAAGAAGTCAGCTACTCTGACATGAAGCTGATCGGCAATGGCAGCTTCGGCGTCGTCTACCAGGCCAAGTTGTGCGATACCGGCGAGCTCATCGCGATCAAGAAGGTGCTCCAGGACAAGAGGTTTAAGGTGTGTTCTTCCTTGAATGTTCTCATCGAGACTATATGTTATACAGAATTACTGTTTTAAAACTTAACTTTTATTATAATAAAAATTTAACTTAAATATAAAAACGAAACACCTTTTCTTTATTTGTAGCGGCGTTTTGTAGTATCTTAATTATCATCTTATCTGTTATATTGTTTGAATTATAGCCAGGCTATAAATTAATAAATATTATTGTATATGATGTTATTTGATGACCGTAAAACTAACTTATTTCCTAATTACAGAACCGAGAGCTTCAAATCATGCGACGACTGGAGCATTGTAATATTGTCAAACTGAAATACTTCTTTTACTCTAGTGGAGAAAAGGTAACTATCTGGCTCGCATAGACCCGCCACTTCCTAATGATTTATTACTCTAACTCAATAATAATATTTGTGTAATGAAGTATTCGAGATGTAAAAGGGCTATATTTATGTTTCATTTGGGATAAGGTGGCAGTGGCCGAGGCAGTTGTTAGCCCACTACTAAATGCAATGCAGTCTCTCGATGTCGCAGTACGTTAAAGAAATCACATTGTTACGCTAGTGTGCTAACGCACATTATAGGATAATGAATTTTTAAGACCGACGGTTACCGATTCATATGTTTATTGGCTGCGGTCGTCTTTAAGTGACGACTTTTCTATGTATGTATATATAAAATATCGGTCGGTGACCCGGCGTTATGCAGTTGTGTGTTGATTTTATTCGTTGGTACCTCGCCTCTTCATCAGCCAGGGGCACTCACTTGCGGCAATCGAATCCATCAGTCATCTAATAATATCAATTCCAATTATAAATCTAATCTGTCCATGCAGACTAGTTTGGCTTGTGTTGTCTTGATACCCTGAGACTGTGGTCGTTCACTGGTAATTCTTTTTGCATACAGTATTTTTTAACGTAAGCTTTCACTTTTGAGGCATTGGTGAGGATTAAAAAAATATTATTATTAAATACTTTCTTTTCGATTGAGTTCCGTATAAATTACTACTGCATAATTTGACTAACACATATTCAAATCTAAGGACGTGTGTATATATATGTTTCTCTTTCAACATCAGATTACTAAACCGCTTGTATCATCACTTTAACTGCTTTGCTTATTGTGAATACGGTATTAACATTGGATTAGGTTTTGTTATCACCTCTCTGTAGTCATAGTAATTTCTCATCATTTTGTCAAACCATTTTCTCTGAACTAACATCGCGCTCTCTTTCCTAATGCGCGCCTGCGCCCTTGCCTTGTGCCCCTTGTTTCGTAGGTCAAGGTAACGTTGTAATTGCCGCCGAATGTTTGCGCCAAGATCCTTTGGATGTTGGCCAAATCATTCCGTCATAGGTATTGTATACCTAATCGTCAACTTTACAGCCACTCTGTTATGTGGGGAGTTAGTTTATATTCATTATGGACTTCTGTTGTTGGAACGTTCCATTATTAAAGCAGCTAACTGGATTAGTCTATGTATTAGTATTAGGCCCATAAGCCGTTTTACTTTCGTGACGCGTTCGTTGGCTTCTGTGTTGCGCAACTGCGTGGCCTGTCCATGGATATTTAATCACTTTGGAGCAAACAGCACGAGTATTGCGGTACACTTGTTAGTTTGCTACGTATTTTTTAAAAAAAAATAATATTTTGAAACGACCACGTCATTTATCCAGGAAAAATTAAAAATCAATTCTGTGCTTGAAATTGTTACTCTTTAATTATTTTTCCTATCTTAATGCATGGTAAACTCTAAAATTCTAAATCCTCCTATCCGCATCATAGTCTATTGCATGAATTATTTCGTCGAAAGTTTATTGATTACAATTTAATTCCTGTAGAAAATGAGGCAAATTAACTAAACCCTACCGGACTCATCATACCTAAAGAGAACCGTTTCATAAGCATGCATTGTCATATGGCTACAGACAGGCGATCGATGTATCATTTATGAAGGAAAATAAAAACAACCTTTCTGTTATTTCCGCTCACTGGTTCACCCGTTTGCCCCCATTGTGAGGTGTGAAAGTTTCTAGAAATGTCTTCGTTGATTTCGTTCGGTCTATTCACAGAAGGACGAAGTGTACCTGAACTTGGTGCTGGAGTACATACCAGAGACGGTGTACAAAGTTGCACGTCACTACTCCAAAGATGAACAAACCATACCCATTAGTTTTATAAAGGTAACGTACTCGCCCTAGTGTATCATACGTTCTTTGAAGTGTCAACTCAGCAGTATTTGCTGTTGCACGAATGGATAGGCTCGTCCGGGGAAGAACCGAAGTGTAATTATTTATTTATTTTATTTATGTTAAAAGTTGCCAATCGAGCAGACGGTGATGACCACCTGATGTTAAGTGAATACCGCCGCCTATGCGGGGTACTAAGGGTTCCAGATGCGTTGACAGCCTTATGAAAATTTGGGTGTAAGTGTAATACTTCTGCGTTTCGTCTGATAAGTGAGGTAACCGAGACGCAATTTTATTACAAGGTGGCAACGCATCTGCAACCTTACGGGTGTTGCAGATGTACATGGGTGGCGGATGCCACTTGATATCAGATGAACCTCCAGCTTGCTTGCTACTTTCTCAGTTAAAACTGCACCTTTATTTAGTAAACTTTTAGTTTTGTCACTTTTTATATGAGTGCTATATTGGTAAAGCTCCCGAACTAATTTTTGTTTTACTTGACTTTTTTTAAGCAAAGCAGAAAGTTCTGCTGTCGTATGATGGGGCCGACTCGCCCGGTGAAGCATCAGTAAACCCGGCGTAAATTAGAAGTATTTTTACGGTTATAATTCGTCTGGCGAGTAAGGTGGTCGGGACGTAACCTCCTGCCAACCCACGGGTGTTTGGCCTTCCATGGCATGGGATTACCATCATCTGTTAACAAGTTTTGTTATTCTCCAGCTTTGTTTTTAATTTTCTTTTATAAAATAAAAACATTTTTAAACGTGCGATACGCTAAAAGTATTTTATTACTGATATGTGATATAAGGATATGACTAATATTGCACTGGTCGGTGTCTCATAGTTGTCGGAATTGTAATGTAATGTATAATACATAAATATATAGTACATAAAATGCGTTTATATCTCATTTGTGGTATGAAAGTTGAATATCTAATATATAAAATTCTCGTGTCACGGTGTTTGTAATTGAACTCCTCCGAAACGGCTCAACCGATTTTCGTGAAATTTTGTGTTCATATCGGCCAGGGTGGAGAATCGGACAACATCTATTTTTCATCCCCCTATATGTTAAGGGTGGTCCACCCCAAACATTTTATATTTTATATAATTTATATCGCAAAACAACGTTTGAAATAAATTTGATACCAATAAAAAACAGTCAAAAATTCCTACACTTTCCTATTTCTTCGACACTCGTGGTTTCCATATCGAAACACGCCGTGCGTTCCCTCTCACGTACCGAAACTAGTCCCATGAACCAACCATAGGGATTCTCCAAGGCGATCGTTAACACGCTCACGTCCCGCCCCGGCAGCTCTACATGTACCAGCTGTTCCGGAGCCTCGCGTACATCCACTCGCTGGGCATCTGCCACCGGGACATCAAGCCGCAGAACCTCCTCCTAGACCCGAAGACGGGCGTGCTGAAGCTGTGCGACTTCGGCTCCGCGAAGCACCTGGTGCGCGGCGAGCCCAACGTCTCCTACATCTGCTCGCGATACTACCGCGCGCCCGAGCTCATCTTCGGCGCCATCGACTACACCACCAAGATCGGTAAGTGGTGTCGCACTATAAATATGCTCATTTTCGGTGCCATCGACTACACCACCAAGATCGGTAAGTGGTGTCGCACTATAAATATGCTCATTTTCGGTGCCATCGACTACACCACCAAGATCGGTAAGTGGTGTCGCACTATAAATATGCTCCTTTTCGGTGCCATCGACTACACCACCAAGATCGGTAAGTGGTGTCGCACTATAAATATGCTCCTTTTCGGTGCCATCGACTACACCACCAAGATCGGTAAGTGGTGTCGCACTATAAATATGCTCCTTTTCGGTGCCATCGACTACACCACCAAGATCGGTAAGTGGTGTCGCACTATGATTATGCTCCTTTTCGGTGCCATCGACTACACCACCAAGATCGGTAAGTGGTGTCGCACTATAAATATGCTCATTTTTGATGCCATCGATTACACCACCTTGATCGGTAAGTGGTGTCGCACTATAAATATGCTCATTTTTCAAATAGAAGTATTGTAATGACAGAAGGATAAAAGTTCTAAGTATTCGTTGTTGTCATTAAGCACCTAGACTGACGATATTTTCTCAATTTTAATAATTGAGAAAATATCGTCGGTCAGGAAAGAAATAAAAAAAAGTCAATTATCAAAAAAAAATTACATAATTAACGTCAAAATAAAAAGTTGCATTTTATTCCAACATTTTTTCGTTAACATGAGTCTTTGAAATCGTCTGTATGCTAAATAGTAAGTAATAATCATTATATGGAAACCAGCTGTCATTGCCCGTCTAGTTCTAACATTTATCAATTTATTTTTCTTATAATTACGGATGTGAGAAAGGAAAATATCAAACTCGTTTATTAGAAATACCGATACATACCTCCTTCGTCGTGCAAACATTCATTATTTTATAAAAGAATCCTTCTATCGCATTTTCAAATACTCTGTCATATCATTTTATATTATTCACACCGTAAATTGTATTTTCAAAACACTAGAAACGTTTAAAGCACTTAGTTCTCTCGGTAACCGTTTAATATAGTACAACGAATAAATAGATTTAAAATCGCAGCAAAACGAAACAGTCTACATTGTAATAATCAACGTAGCCTCGAGCGTATAAATTCTATTTACTTTATTAGTAAAATGGCCGTAAATATAAGACATATAATATCGAAGTGATTTGATAATTCCGTTTAACACAGTTTAGAAACTCCAGCTATCCTTGCCCGCCCTGTAAATATTGACCCGTAAAACATAGTTAAGTTTTATCCATTACGTTAAGATCGGAAGGCGTGAGTTCTTGAATTTTTTTTGTGTATTCTGTGCCAATCATGAAAAATAGTAGTCTTTCAGTCAGATTATTGTAAATAACTTGATTAATGTGTTTTTTTCATCTGCCGACAGACGTGTGGAGCGCAGGTTGTGTCGTTGCGGAGTTGCTGCTGGGCCAGCCGATATTCCCCGGCGACTCGGGCGTCGATCAGCTGGTCGAGATAATTAAGGTGACCATCTCGATTTCTCGAACTTTCCATGAAACTCATATCACTACATAGTATAAAACAAAGTCGTCCCGCGTCAGTCTGTCCCTATCTATGCTTAGATCTGGAAAACTACGCAACGGATCTTGATGCGGTTTTTTTTACTAGATAGTTTATCAAGAGGAAGGCTTATATGTATAATACATTGCAAACGTGCGAAGCCGGGGTGGATCGCTAGTTAGGTATATGACTTCAATGCAGTGGAGTACAATCTCGGTCTCGCACTAAAGCGGCGTTAATGTAAGGGTGGTATTTGCCCTTGAATGTTGGCTTTACACCCCAAGCGTCGTTACCAGATGTCTACGGCTACGGTGACGACATGGTTTCAAAAACGGCTTTCCTGTTTGTCACATCCCATAGATCTAATAACGTTGTTCTTTAGTGCAATATAACATAATAAGGCATTTCTTGCCTCGCACAACCACTCTGTGGAACCAACTGCCGCCGGCGGTCTTTCCGAACCGTTACGACCTGGGAACCTTCAAAAAGAGAGCGTACTCTTTCTTAAAAGGCCGGCAACGCATTTGTGAGCCCTCGGGTATTGCAGGTGTTCATGGGCGGCGGTAATCACTTACCATCAGGTGAGCCTCCTGCTCGTTTGCCCCTTTTCTCCATAAAAAAAAAAAAAAAAAACTTCAGTGTGTTTATAAAAACATTGAAATTATTTTGTAATCACTATATAGGTTATTTAATATTATATTTATCGAGGTATTTTCCAATGATTTTCACTGAAATGTAAATATGACCTTTTTACCATAGAAAGTAGATTAAAGGTACAAAATGATACTTCCTTACCGTAAAAGTGTTTTATCTCTGGCTTGAAAATAAAAAAATATATATTGTTTTTATTATTTTATTAAATAAATATTTCTATGCTATAAATTAGACATATTTTTTTGTGTCTGTTGACTTACAATTTGGCCGTTCATCTAATCTAATTGAAAGAAATAATTAATGGCGTATATTAATTAAGCTTTAAACTACTTATAACTGGTTAGTGTACAATTACCCTGTTATATTGAAAAAAAAAAAAAAAAACTTCAACATATTAAAAATTGACAAATTGCAAGATTCTGTATAGAATCAATTGTGAAACCAACCTATGTTCACAAGACTTAAGAGTATGTTAGGTTTCCTATTCCGAATCTAAAACATAAAAACCAGTAAAATGATAGTGGAAATTAAGTCGCATTATGAATTAATAATAATTTATTGTTACAGGTCCTAGGAACACCGACACGCGAACAGATCCGCGAGATGAATCCCAATTACACTGAATTCAAATTCCCTCAAATCAAAAGTCATCCCTGGGCAAAGGTTAGTTTTGTAACAGATTTTACTATAGTGTTATCCATAATCTGTACAAATCTTATTTATATCATTTACTGCCTGTTTTCACTTATCACACACATTACATTGATTTATACAGTATCTATTACAAACATTTATTTCAATCGACAAAAAATCTCTTATGTGCTCGATTAAGTTTTCATACAAATCGTAAAGTTGCTACCCGAAGCGGTCTACGGCATAAAATGAATGAAATTTTTAACGCCTTTTTTTAAGGCACGTTGCCAGTTGCGTAAAAACTTGTTTACTTTAGTTTACTTAACGATTTTAACTAGGCTTACTATTCGTGATGTTAACGCTCCACAAATTGCAGTACATGTTGGAGCGAATGACGATGCCAAAGTCGGCCACTGATCATCAGCGCATTCGAGTAAGGCTCCGTTCTGCGACTAACCTAAATGCCTCCATTTCACCATCCACACGAATAATTAGCCAAATATACTTTGTATGACTTTGTACTACTACACATGATCATCTCCAGACGATTACTTCAAACACATTTCGCCCATCACGGACGTAACAATTTTTTTACTAATGTTTTGTGAATTTTTCGCAGAACCATTAGAAGCTTGTTGTGCAATTTTCAAGTAAATGAAGGCATTTAGTGTTTATTCACGTTTCGTGGCGGTTATACCGATTTACGTTGACAATTCTTTATCAGCAAAAAGCGCATTTTGCAATATGGAATCTTCTAATGGATTATATGGAAATGTTGTATAGAGTCAACGTTGTTGTTTTTATTTATATTATATTAAATAACGCTGAGATCACAAATTTTTAATAACATTAATCTTATACCAGTTTCAATAACTTGATATGAAAAAATTTGAAAAATATAAATATTTATAAAATTTAAATCTTCTGAATTATTTCGAAAAAAGAATGAAGCAATTTCCCATGTCGCGTAGTTGGAGCGTCGAAATGTGAATAAAAATTGTTTTTGTCGAGAATTGACGGCATCGCCTTAGCATGAGTTAACTAGAAGGCAAAACTAAAACTCCGTTGAAGCTCTATATGATTGTAAAATTGACTGTTTGTTGGTGTTCAGTGTGCGTTCCGACTTGAGTGACGTTTTCTTTCATTTTACCAACTATTCGATGTTCTTTTAATTGTCAGTCTAGATACTATAGAAGTCTAGGAAAAAACTGAAACGGGACACGTGTATTATATTACTACATTACTTCGACGTACGGTGCATAAATGTTATTTCCCGTGATGTGTAGGGTTTACGGAGCTTCTGAGACTATAAATAAGACTTAAAATTATCCGCAAGTTATTTTACTGGTACTTGCGGTCTTAACTCTCCATTCCGCAGTGTCTATAAAGTTTAGCAAAATTCTATTTAACGGGTTTCTCTCACAGCTACAATCGCGTTAAATGAAACTGAAATACCATTTTTTTAATTTTATTTAGAGGCTAAACGATTTACAGTGTAATTGACAATAAATAATTACAACTACCCAATTGAATACTGGTCGTTAATAAGTTAACATTTGATATCAGGGAAAACTTATTATATTACTTGTGCACTGTGCGTCATTATAATGTATTTTTCCATATACCAACTATATCTCTAATGTATGTTGTCTAACAAATAACATTGTAAATATTGTTAGTTCATCTATTTTGGAAAAGTCTTATTTTCGTTCTATTTCCTAACTTGACATTTATTTTAAGTTTTATATTATGTTTAATGATACATTTAATTTTAATGGATTAGTTCTTTGATTATTTTTGCATTATAGATAACGATTTTTCAAAGTAAATAACTCTGAAAAAAAAAAAATTTCGTTTCGTTCGGAAGGCGTGTACCGTTACCTTAAATTTATAAGTATTTACATTGTGTACTTCAAGAATGGGCAGGCTCGTTGGGGGCAGTGCAAGGGTCTTATAGAAGACCGACGTAGAGTAGAAATATTTGCTCTTTTTGATTTTTCGACCCGAGTCCCGCTCTTTTATGTTTTTCAAACTATGAGATGGGCGTGAAGGATGGAAATGACACACTCCTGAGGGTGTGGATTAGATCTTCACTTCCGACAAAAATAACGTGTGGTGAAATTTTGTTTTTTAGGTTTCGAGCGTTTATATCTCTAATATGTATTTATTGCTTATGAGAAAAAATTTTTTTCAGTATGTTTATTAGTATACACTGTGAAAGGTAAAAGGAAGGTATGTGGAGTCCGCCGATGCGAAGTGGGGCCGGACTACGCCCAGACATACAGAGGAGGCCTTTGCCCAGCAGCGGGACACACATCAGCCGTCACTTAACTTCTTAGTCTATAACAAAGTTTCGTCTCGCTCCGCGCAGGTGTTCCGCGCGTGCACGCCGCCGGACGCCATATCGCTCGTGTCTCGGCTGCTGGAGTACACGCCGGGCGCGCGCCTCTCGCCGCTGCAGGCGTGCGCGCACAGCTTCTTCGACGAGCTGCGCGAGCCGGCCGCGCGGCTGCCCAACGGGCGCGCGCTGCCGCCCCTCTTCAACTTCACCGAGTACGAGCTGGCCATCCAGCCGTCGCTGAACGAGTTCCTCAAGCCGCGCGCGCAGCCCTCCGCCGCGGACGCGCCCGGCGCCTCCGCCGCGCCGCAGGACCACGCGCACGACGCCCAGGGTGAGCGCGACACTGCTCACTTCCACTTCGACCCGACGCGTGCCTGCGATCTTTACTAGTTCGTCCGTCCGCCTTGTGGGAGGCCGCGGTCCCCACTATAAAAATATACAACGCCATATTTTTAACAGACTTCAAAAAGAAGGAGGTTGTCGATTCGATGTTCATATATATATTTTTTATGTGTGTTCGGCCATAACTTCGTCATGTGTAGACTGGATTTGCAAAATTCTTTTTTTTTTTTTTTTTTTTCGAAATTGTCCCATATAAATTTTATACTTTTCTTTAGGTGCCCAAATTCACGCAGGAGGTTCAGACTCGGCAGTATTATCGTTTATTGAAATAAAAACAAACTTTTTTTTTTCAAAAACTTTGCCATTACATTCCTTAGAAAACAGAACTTGTTGATAAATGCGTCATATATTTTAGAAACGAAGATGCGTGCTTGTTAGTTATGAATGAACGAAAATAAATTACTTGCCCATAAATCACACACTTTTTGAGATAAGTTCAAATGAATGTATTTAATTAATTACCAGTGATTCAAAATATTTACCATTTCTTATATAACATTATTTATGTCTAAAATTTTATAAAAAAATGGATACACTTAGAAAAGCCTCCCTGTATATTTTCAGATGAGCTTGAATTATCCAAACAAGGCAGACAGGCAGACATCAACAGATCTATACAGAGGTATAGATCTGATGATGATTTCCGGAGATAGCAAGAACTCTTCGAAATATGACTGGAAATCAACCGCGATTGCTGCTATCGCATAAATACATCACAGTAAATCATTTTGTTTGAAGTCGGTTAGTTTTTGTTAAAAAATCTTTTTATTATTACTAAAGAAAAACAAAACCGACTTCAAATATCCTGCTCTGTATTCATTTTATAATCAAATATAGGAGTTCACTAAGTATCTCCGGAGCGCAATATCCAATACCAATGAAAATCCCAATGAATAAGATTTGAAAATGAATATCACATACAAATGAATTATGGGACCAAGTGGGAAGCACCAGCTTTCGAATAAAAAAAAATCATCAAAATTGGTTCATTCAATCGAAAGTTCAGAGGTAACAAACATAAAAAAATACAGTCAAATTGAGAACCTCCCTCCTTTTGAAGTCTGTTGAAAATTCAAAATATCTTTATTCAAATAGACGATTGCGCTTTCTTATGAAACGTCCAATTATTACATAATAATTGATAAATAAGCTCGTAAGTCACCACCGGTTCGGAGAGCGCTTTCTGTTGAGAAGAGAACGGCAGGAAACTCCGCAATTGGTCTTTTCTGAAAAGATCAGAAGTACTATGTAATATTAGGTATAATACTAGTCTTATTGTAGCTTACGACAATATCAACAATATTGACTCCACACATTGGCGTCGTCAAGATATTCCGCAATGGTATAATATGATAAAATTAAGCGGGCGATAAATTATTCAAGCGGGCCTCGGTCACCTCGCTCAACAGACTGAACGCAGAAGTGATATAATTTCACTTCGCGCCTGTCCTATGTGAAGTCTCGGTACTTCCCCGGGTGGACCGCCTGTTGCGTGGTCCTACCACAGTTGAAAGAGAGATCGCTTCAAAAGATATCCTTTTTTTGCGTTAGAGAAATCCTTCTTGGATCCCCGAATACCGGATCGGGGCAGTGACGAGTATATGCAGGCGCCGGTCAGAAACGGGTGCACACTAAAAACCCACATTGCATCTGTCTCTGTCACATCGATTACTCTTCAACGCAATCTTCCGCGAGCCCAACGCGACTATGACCTTAATGGGCCTCCTCTTCTCGTGTACACGACGACCGATCCGAAAGGTACGGTGTTCAAAAGATGCCTAGTTACTGCGGTAAGACGGGGGCTTATGCGGGGCTCCTACCCACTAAAACCCGCTCGGCGACCATGACAGGCAGGACGATACCTGTGTTCTTTAAGTCTGGGACTACAAGGCTCGGGACCGGGGCCCGTTCATAGCTACCAGCGGTCGGAGTTACTACATTATTTTTGTGTGACTGCTGTACCACTTGAGATTGTATTCTCACTTTATTTTTTTTCTCGACTCAATTGTTCGATTTGCTAGAATATAGAACCATCTGTCAGAAACATAAGAGTGTGCTGGATCACATATTTTATTATTACCTTTATAGAATTTGGTCAATGTTCCTTTATAGCGACACGTTCAATGTATATTTTAACAATGTCGGTTACGGAGTGCCGAGATGTAACGATGTGACCTGTTGCAGCCGAAACCGCAGCGGCGTGCGGGCCGAGCGGCGGGTCGCCGGGCGCCTCGTAGATGGCGGCGGAGCAGCAGCCCACGCCCACGTTGCCCACGCCCACGCCGCCCGCGCTCACGTCGTCCACGCCCACGCCCGCGTCGCCCACGCCCACTCCTCGGCCTCCCCACGGGTCCGACGTCCGAGGCCCGACGCGACCTCAGTGTACTCGACAGACTCGTCAATCTTGTCAGTCCACGTGCATTTAGGGCAATCGCTACGTTACAAGTAGGTCGGTATGTTTAATAACGCGACGCAGTGCGCACTCGTCCCGCGCCGGTGACGCCATGCGGACGTTTCCACTTCGTACGTAGCGCGTTCACAGCCGACGCGCCGATTTCTGCCCCCTCTACCTAACCTAATCGGAATTAGATCGAGGGTCATTCGTATGCTATTTAGTGATAGAGTTTTTTCTTTCGTGTTGGCCATCGGGTAAAATTATATGCATAATAGGTGTTTTCGGCGAGTAATCGTGTGATACCGTAGTGTAATTGTCGATAAAGCTTGAGCTGTCGTAGTCGGTAAGAAGGGTAAAATCCACAGTAGACTCTGTACCGTCGCCATGTGATTTTTTTGTACTATTATGTAAGCTCCTTTTTTTGTGTACATACCTTTTACTGCGTTTTAAAATTAACGTTTATTTGGTAAACGACAGATTATTATCTGGATAAATTGTTTTGTTTTATTTTCACCTGTTACTTGTTTATGTCATTTAGTACTTTCATTTAATTGTAACTCATGATGTACTCGGCGAGAAACATTTTTTCCATGTAAGACGGAGAGGATTGTCCCATTACTAACTTCTAATCTGTGAGGGATTGCTGCATGATGTTTGGGGATCGTAAATTTTGCTTGGGCCATGTAATCAGTAGGAAAATATTTCAGTAGTACTTTAGTATATTTATTATTGGAACGTATTAATATCTGATGAACTTTAAGAGCGTTTTTCGCTTTCATCAATGAGTCATTTCAAGTGGAAATTTTTTTGCACACAAGGATACAGCATACTTGTAAATTTTTATAACTAGCATATACTGATCTCTCAAGATAATTTATAATATTTAATGATTTCTCAGAATATTATATATGTGTATAAACATTTCAAAAAAAATATAAAATTTTAGATTAACTATGTTATAGATATTTCTTTGTTCAGGAATTTCTAAATTAGAGATGTTGTGTTTTTATTGCGATTTATCTTACCTTGTCTTATCCAGGGCTGGATAAAAGAAACCTATTTTAACGAATAGCACTGTCAGTGTCCTATTGTAACGTCACAGTTTTTCGATAATATTGTATTCTATAGTCAATAAACGATATTTCTGCTATTAAAAATTTTGTCATTGAGAACACGCTATTAGTAGTCAATGAAACAATGTTAAATTAATTAAATTCATTGTCATAGTTTTAAGCTTTCATGCAATTTCATTTCGCACTTCGAGTTGGATACAATTACAAATTAGGCGAGGTATTAAAAAAATATATAAGTATAGTGTAATTAAAAATATTTCATTCATTGGTATAGATGTAGCCTGATGTGTTGATGTAATTACCTCTCGCACCAGTTTTGATAAATTAATACATTATGAAACGGGCAGCTGGCGGCATTGAATAGTAGTCCAGTGGCAAGGAACATCGAGTTGAGCGATTACAATCACAATTACACGTACAAAATGGTACAGTGGGTCGGATTTCTTGCGATGCGATTTTGTCAATTGGTTCCCAATGGCGAACGGTGCCCTCTCGAAACTTGCTAAGTTGAACAAGTGGACAAATTAAATACTTAGTTGAGCGGAATGCATCAAACGAAATGCCCATGTACATTTGGCCGCGGCCAAGTATATAATACACATTGTATTACTATATGTATGTACTAATTACGTATAAATTTGTAGTATGTTAAGAAATATAACGCGCTCGGCGCATGATTTCAAATCACACATAGTGGAGCTTAGTCGTCGTCCCTAAGGCTACTGATTTGCTGACACCTTTATAATTCGTGTAAATATATTATAATTATCTTTATGGTATGACTCTTGAGTAACGTAATTGAGTTGGCAGTCGAGCGCTCGCCTTACTGTCCGTTTAAGTCCACAGTACCCCTGGGACTGCTACGCGTTCAGTAAGGACTAAGATAGTTTAGATACGCATATTTTATTAAGTCTATCTAATATGAATTTTGTATTCGACGTTGCTTCTAAAGACCCTCTGTGTAAAAAGATAAGACAAACTAGTGACCTGAATGTTTGAAGCTATGTTATCGGAACGTCTTTACCCCACTGAATTATTACTCTCACGATTTGCGTGCACGTTTACTTCAGAGAACTATCGGTAAAAAATTAAATTCATATACACATACATACTTCGAAATGGGGTTGACTTATATAAATTATTTAAAGTAAAAAGAGTTTTCTTATTACTAGTACTGTAATATTAAATTTAATAGTGAGTGAAAATTGTATTTTGTTTTAATTTGTTTTACTGAATTTGAATACATAGTAACACCCATATCGTTGTTAGTTATGAATGAAAATAACATAATTATAAAAGTAAATATTGAATGAATAGTAAACATGGCTTTTTATTTTCTACCTTATACAAGTTCCAGCTAATTTTAGTAAGCAAATGATCAGCTGATAATTTTAATCGGGCCCTCATTTAAATAAATAATTTATTCTGTTTAGTAAATAAAGAAAGCTGTAATCTTATACATAATTGTTAATAGATTTGTTGTAATATACAATAATATTAACAGTCATAAGTCACTTTTACAGTTGTTACTACTATTTTAAAACTGGTTACTAAAATGAATTAAATTTTGCATGAATATATGAAAGGATAATTTTCCAGCGTTATGGTTGGTGATGCATAGAAATCTATTCAATCTTGAAGACAATTTTTTTGAAAATAGAAAATAGTCCTTCATTACGGTGCAAAGGAAAATTTTAATCTATAATTAGTAGTGAATATTAATTATAGTTCAATAACAAAGAGCTATTTGAATGTATTAGGTAACTATAATTGATTGCTGTTATCGAATTCATGTGTAAAGAAATAATTTAAGCTTTGTAAATTCAACGACGATGATAAATTATGTATCTGTTTAAATGTTGTATAATTACAGAGATGACGCCAGAAAAAAAAGCTGCTATAGACCGTGGATTTTTAATTTTAATATTTTCTACAGGTCCGTGTGACTTTATTTACGCAAGTAGATAATTAATGGATTATTAAATTTAAGAATTATTATAATTCAAAGCTTACATTTCCAACTGAAATTAAGGGAAAATTACTAAACTCATGTTGAATTTTATGACATATTCTACATCGCAACAGTTATAACCTTTTCAAGATCAATGTACACATTCTTGAAAATACAGTTTATTGTATGAATAAATAGTTTTGTTTATTTACTTATATAAATAAAATGTCCCTTTTTGGTTAAGTCTTGTTTCATTTACGCATTTCAGCACACTATCCAACTAAATTGGACGGCAAAAATGGTAAAGAGCTCATTTAAAATTAATCATCTAAATTTCGGTTTCTTGTTCTAATCCGGTCAAAAGTCAAAACTAAAATTTTAGCTTAACCTATATAGTAGCCGATGCTTACGGACAATATGAGGACGCCGCTCGCTCCGCTACATCTCTCATGGCGATCATCTCCTGCCAACAAAAGACGTGATCTAAGTTAGGATCAGTGACTTTTTGATTACTAGTGCTACTCCATGCACGAAGAAACATATAAATGTATTAATAACTATCGCAAAGATTTGACGCTATAAGGATTCGAACGTGCTTCTTCAGGTAAACGCGTCCAGAGTGGCCACGAAGATAAACGGTCGACACCTCATGAAACTCGCTCTCTTAACAACTTTCTTTTACTTCCATTTGTGGCAATGCTTGGAGCTATATCATACCGCTCCTTCACAGCAATTACATTAAACTTTTTATAAAATTTTAAGCTTATGTTTCATCTGAAGTGCGAATAATGGCAGAAAATTAAAGTTGAAAAAAATTAATTGCAAAGGCGACGTCTCTATTTTGTAAAATGTAATTTGAGTGTTTGAGAAAGTGTGATTCGCATTTCGGAACTTCTTTTAAGGTTTTTACATTTCCAAATTATACAGAAACGCAGTTTTTAGTTTTTAAATAACCGCTTTTATTTTTTGATTCCAGGATAGAGCCATTTTTAATCGATCATGTGCAATATGTGCAAGCTTAAAAAATACTATACAGCGTGTCTTTACCATCGCGACAATAAATGAACACATATAGAGGATAACTTTTTAAAATTGTATTAAACATTTACATTCTTAAAACATCAATATTTACAGAGTTATTAAAATTTCCCAAACAAAGAATTTTAGAACACCCTTACGTATAAAACTGTAACGTAAAATTCATTTGTAAAGGTCACGAAGCATATGAATAGACAAATATCTTTTATTCATTATATCATAGGGTTGAATGAATTTAAAAGAAACAAAACATACTGTTAGAAGGAGAGGCTTGTAATGCGACGCTGTGGCAACGAATGAAAACGTCTCTGAATGTATATATCAGTCAGTTGTAGTTATGTAGGATGTTATAAATTTTGTTTCTTTTTTACTTAATTAGTTTGTTTGAAAAATATACTTTTTTAATTATGGATTTTTTTAACGTTAATATTTTTTTATAACTGGCAAGTAGCGTTAGATGTGTGTTCATTTATTGTCGCGATGGTAACGACACGCTGTATAATACCAACGTATTATAAACGTAGTGATAACATTCTCTTTGTATAATACATATCTATTTGAGGTAGGTCTCGTCTATATCAGTACGATGGTGTAATTCTTACTTGTAAATTATTTGTAAAAACGTCGTCGTCGTCGTCCGGGACTTCTACAATGCCCTTTTAAGGGGGCTTGCAGGTGCGGGTGTCGAGGCTTGATCCTCGTGACCCGTGTTTCTTCTCGGGGGCCCTTAACCACTTAAATCAGCGTTAATTAACGCTGATTTAAGTGTGAGATGTAATCTCATTGCCCGTCAGGATGCTGAGAAATGAGGATAGGGCGCGACTTATCGCGCTCCAGGTTGAAAGGCTCACCGTCGTAGCGGCGAGGATATTATTGATGGCTTCATTGGCGATGGGAACTAATGTTCACACCACTTCAGCGAGGTTTTCTGTTGTAATGGCTTCTCGCGTTCGTTGGTAGTCGCTGGAGCGGTGAGGACTACGTACAGGCGTCGGCTCCGTCCTTATGTGTCCGTAAAATGTAGCCTTCTGCTTTCTCCACTGGGCGGAGGCGAGGGGTTTCTTTGGCGGGGGCGGGGGGCGGTTAGGTGCTGCCATCTCCGTCTCGGTTGCTGACATAGACACCGTCTGTTCATCGCTCGCAGACGTCGCGGGGGCATCACTTCCGCGGCGCCTGCGTCAATGGCTTTTTATCCGCTGTGTAGGCGGGTTACCTGGAGGCTGCAGTGTAGTAACTGCAGTGCTTCTTGAAGCGGCTACGGCGATATTTGTAGCTAACTGCGCCGTTTATTTTGATACACTCAGGTCATTTTCACAGTAAATACGAATCTAACGACACCTCTCAAGCTAAAATCCATTAAACCGTTCAGGCTGCAGGGCGTGCTAAACAATTATAAATACATACTCTCGAAAAATATAATCCGCAGTCGCGTAAAAAAATGTTAAGTACCTTTTCTAATATTTTGTGAAAAAAGAAAAAGACAAAATAGAGGATACCTATGGAGTTCCTTGCGCCTGTTTTTTAAATTTTTTTTTATTCATTAATTATAAGAAAAAAAAGACTTGGCCGAAAACTGAAAATATTTTTTTCTGGGCAAAATTTTTTGGGTCAAGATTTTAGAGAAAAACGTTTACTATGTACTAACAATTGTTCATTAGAATGACGATAGGTTTTTTTTAAAATGGAATTTGTAACAAAAAATTCTGTCCCTCATAGCAGTTTCGACCAACCGTGCGACAACTCGTTGTGCGGGCGAGCCGCAAGTCTCAAACTTAAAGATTATTATATATAATATATTTGTTTGTTTATTTAATGGCATTATCAACGTAGTGATTACATTCTTTCTGGGCATTATGGCATAATGGCAACATTAAGCCACAAACGTCAAAAAAGTATCTGAGCTGTGCTATTTTTTTGTATGAAAAAAACAATAACAAATTAGATAGCTACGTAAAGGTGTAAAAAGTTTGTCACTTTAAATACTCCGTTTCTAAGTTAATCGATCTCTAATAATAAATTCTTAAGTAATGCCACTTGCCACCCTCACTCGAAAGGAAATCTAAAAGATTCAGAAAGCTAGGTTCATTTATTATATATATTTAGTTTATATATTATTGCTTAAAGTTAATTTTTGGACCAAAATCATGCATGAGGCGTATGAAGTATCTCATTTGCTCAATGCAACCGTACAAATAGAAGCTATTGCAGCATATGGTGAGTTTTTATCAGAATATGCTTTGTCTTATCTCATAAGACAAAGCTTAGATTGTATTTTCTGTGTTTCATATATTATTAATAGCTTACTCTTTTATTTTCAGATGGTAATTTATTGTTGGGTACCAGGCAAGGTCATTTATTAATGTATTCATTGTCGGCAATAAATGCCAACCAGAAATATGAGTTGAGACTACTTCGTTATTGCAAAAATTTTAGTAAAAAGCCCATTCAACAAATTGAAGTTATTCCAGGTATGTAAATATAAAATATGCAGAAATTATAGAGTTAAGTTCTTTTTTATGAATACTACAATAAAATCTAGAATAATGACAAAGCATTTTTTCACTGAACAATATCTTTTAATGATAAAGAAACATAACTGAAACTAGAATTACATAGTTGTAATCACTGGTCATGCCTACGATTTATAAAAATAATAATTAAAACTTTGTCTCTGTTCAGGACTTTTACCTCTATTCTGTGCAAAAATAGAAAAACAAAAACATAATGTTACTGTTTCTTTTGTAGAAGACAACCTGCTACTGTGTCTCACAGATAATCTCTTGTCAACATATGATATAAATGGAGTAAATTTCCCATTTATTAAATCATTTCCACAAACAAAGGGTGCATCACTGTTTGCATTAGTTAATAAGGTTTGTTAATATGTACTTATTTTATTAAAGTAAAGTTACAGCCTATATATTTCCCACTGCTGGGCAAAGGCCTCCTCTGTACTGAGGGTATAAGAGCATACTCCACCATGCAACCCCACTGTGGATTGTCGAACTTCACATATTCTTTTAAATATTTTGTTTTGTTATTAGCTCGAAAAATATGCAGGTTTCCTCTCAATGTTTTTTTCACCACTGATCATGTGTTAAGTCAATCTTAAAATTTACAATTTATTGATACAGGCACCAGGATTTGAATTCAGGTTGCACAAGCATATTCAATTAAATGATAATGTAGTATGTTTAATTAAATAAAATGGACACTGACCTTTCACAGGTTTCTGAGCTGTCATGTCTTACTTTTTATACTTTTGCATTTCGTCTGGTGAGTGAGGTAGCTGGGGCCCGCTTTATTAAAAGGTAGCAATGCATATGCAATCCTAGGGGTGTTGCAAATGTCAATGGGCGATCTTTATCACATACTATCAGGTGTAACACCATATCTTTAGCCACCTTCTCCCATTAAAAAAAAAACTCTTTTGTTTAAACTTATGGGGTTTAAACACCCAACATCTTAACAGACATTCTCACCATTGCCGAAATTGTTTTTACTTGCATTTTATAAAATAAATTGTTTAAAACTATTATTTGTTTTCATTTTTAATTTTTCAGTCTGCAACATCAATGACTGGAGAATCAAATTCAGTTGTACATCTTTGTGTTGCAGTCAGAAGAAAACTTTTAGTTTACTATGGTAAAAATGGAGAATTTAAACAGCATATATTTGATTATACTGTATCTGATGTGCCTAAAGTAATAGCATGGGGTCAAGAGTACTTATGTGTTGGTTTCAAAGCCGAGTACACTCTGTTTGATGTAAGCAAAATTGTTGCATATTTTGATTTTGTTATAAAAACCATCCCATTTATAATTGGGAAAAGTAAAGCCTATTTCCCCAATGTAGTTAAGTTGATGTTTAAATAAGTAAATTCTATTACATCATCTTAAGGTATTTTTTAAATAAAACAGTATTTTATCGGAAGCCTTTTCACATTTTTAGTTATCTTCTGGTAAACCTAAGGAGTTGTTCCCAACCAGTAGCTCCAGATCTCTTGAGCCTACAATAGCTAAATATTCAGAGACTTCCTTCCTGCTTGGGCGGGATAATACATCTGTGATTGTTGAGGAGGCCAAAGATATAGAGATAAAGAAAACAATCAAATGGAATGAAGCACCAGTAGCTGTAGGTCAGCATCTTTTATATAATTATTAGACGATGATTGGATGATGTTCTTTTTAACTTGCTTAAAGCTCTGGTACTATGGTGAAATAAACACATTTGCATAATTGAAACCGAATGGATTTTTTGCACTGAACAAATTTGTAATAAAATTTTTAATTACTTAACATAGTAACAGTCACAAACAAAAAAACAAGCTATTATTTATAGATTGTGAAATTCAACTTTAATGTTGATTTTCCTATTTCTTGCATTAAATAAGGTTTTAATTTTTAATAAAAGATGCATTTGCTTTTATAATTACAATATGAAAATGACAAATTACATTTCTTCTCAGTTTGGGATGAGCCATTCATTCTAGGATTGTTGTCTGACCAAGTGGTAGTACAGACTGTGGAACCACCATTGTTCATACAGACATTGCCAGAGCTGAACAAAGCTAGGCTTATGTATCGGTATGTTTTGTAACCATGTTAAATGTATATAAAACAGCTAGAAACATAAAATTAGACCATGTCCTAACCTATTACAGATGCAAGCGCGGTTTAATATTTGTAGCATCAGTGGGCCAGGTGTGGTGCATCAGCTCTGTTGATGTTACTAAACAGAGGCAGCAGCTCCTGAAGGATAAGCAGTTCCAAATTGCAATTGATTTAACGGTAATATATTATTGTTTAGTTTCATTAACTTAAAAAGGCTGTAGACATAGATGCTGCAGCCTGATAATACAGGTCTTCATAACTAGTTGGAGCACCAGCTCTCACAAGCGTCGACTTTAATTCTTTACTTTGTACTTGCAATTAATGAGAGAAAATAAATACTTATTTTTATTACCATCAATAATATATGATTACGGTATCCTCAATTGTAGAGACATTTTACATAAACAAATTCAATTTAAGTATATATTTGACTTTGGATAAGTATTTATAAGAATCTACAAATACGTTCGCGGGAATCGAACCTTGGGACCACCACTCGTAACCTATAGCTGTATTCTAGGTCATATTCTTTTGATACAAACATTCGTGACAAAAAATATGATTGAATATTAAACCTAAAAGTCATTAGAGCTATTTGTGTATATATTAGTTTTGTGTATTCTCTATCTCTCAATATCTCGCATATCTTATAACTTTTATCAACTTTAAATTCTTGGCTTGCTCAAATACTATAACTGCAATTAACTGTGGTGGGAAATGGTAGCAAAATTGTCTCAGTTATCTGACCATACTGTTAAAAATAACAAGAGTTTTTTGTAATTAAGATTAAGTTTTAATTGCTCCAAATATTCATCTGTATCAGGTCCTAATATTTTTTTTAATTATTGAAGAAGGTAAAAAACTTTTCACATTCAATTATGAAAAGCCTTGATTAGAGTAATTTATGGACATTGTGCGGATAAATTATACCAATTAAAAACCTACACAACAGTGACCCTATAAGTATTATTAAATTTTCAGTTACCAATTAATTTAAATGAGCACCGATAACAGCAAAGTGAAACTGATTGTGTGTTAAAAACAATTTGTCATTCTCTGAACAAAGCATTCAATATCGTATTTTTTGAGTTTTGTCGGTATTTAAGAGAGTTGTAATTTGGTCAAAAACTATTTGTTTGCAAAATGTTTAGTACTCAATTGAAAAAAAGAAAGGCTCAAATAGCTAAATTCATGAGTGTGAGTATTGTAACATATTATATATAATAATGATAATCGAAAAAAAAAATTGTCGCGTTGAATAGACTAATAGGTGTTGCTTAGAAATTTTGAAGTGAGTATATTGATTTCTCAATTTTCTACAACTTTTTTCGCGCAAAAAAAATATGAGCTAAATTAACCTATTTGCTTAGAAATTTTGAAGTGAGTATATTGATTGTATTTTAATTCGCGCAAGTGAAATATGAGCTAAATTAACATATTTGGCATCATAATAAAGCCTTTTTCACCGTTCCTCTGCGACTAATTGAAATGAAGCAAAATTTATGGTATATATGTTAACGTTATATCTACCAACTATGCATGTATACTCATCACCATCTCACCGATCATTTCGAAACAGTGTCATACTATAGTACTACAGTAACTAGTTATTTATTAATTATTTATTAAATATTGTGTCGCAAGCCAACAATCTCTGTGTATCTAGAAATTCCTCTTATGTTATCCGTAATTACTAGCTATAAGAAGGGCTGCGCCCGTGTCAACTTCGCACATATTCTAAAGTTTGTAACTCACAACTTATGTGAATATCGGTGTATCGATATAACAATGATATTTCTATTATATACAAAAACGAAGTAGATATGACACTAGCTCACCGAAACTGAGACGCTCAAATTACGCCAATTGGTGTCATTCGATTGCCATTCGTCACACTGCCATCTCTTTCCGTATCATACGTTCTATATCATCTGTCACATTCACTCCTATTATGTCATATAATGGAAGCGAAACAACTTTTAAACTCCGCGCAGTATGGGCATCGTCATCTATGTTATTAAACATCATTCCGATATAAGATGTACATTAATTTTGAACGGAGCATTAACAACGTTTACGTGATCACTCTCCAGCTTCTCTCAGACTCCAGTCCCGAGGAGAAGAGGCAAACGATACACTCGATTCAGATGCTGTGCGCTCTGGACTTGTTCGACGAGAAGAAGTACGCGCAGTCGATGAAAGTGTTCGTGCAGCTGAACACCGATCCGGCGGACGTGATCAAGCTGTTCCCGGAGCTGGACAACAGGCCGGGCGCTGACGACCAGAAGAAGCTGAAGGGCAAAGACCTGGAGGGAGCCCTGAACGCCCTGATCGACTACCTGGTCCAGCTGAGGTCGAAGATCGGGAAGAACGGCGCCGAAGCGGGCGGCGGCAAGGACGAGACCACCGGCCACAGGAACGTCACTCAGCAGCTGGAGTTGATCGATACGACGCTTCTGAAGTGTTATTTACAGGTATTCGGCAACGCATCTGCAACCCGACGGGTGTTGCAAATGTCCGGAGGTTATTGTCACTTAAAATCAGGCGAACTGCTGGCTCGATTGCCACCACTTCTCACATGAAAAAATTGATGTGGTATTTTTTTATGTGAAAAGTTGTCAAGTGGGCGGGCGATTCTCGTAAAAGTAAAGTAACAGCCTATATAAGTTCCACTGCTGGGCAAACTCCTCTATACAGAGGGTATTAGGGCGTCCCGAACACTCGGCTTTTTACTAAAATTTGGCGGACTTTACATACCTTTAAAATGTTTTTTTTGTTATTTCGAAAATATGCAGCTTTCCTTACCGTGTTTTACTTACATCTGAGCATGTGATAGTTGAGCAATTAAATTTAACAATTTAATTGGTTCTACCACCGATATTTGTACTCGGTGCTTGAATATATTGAATTAAAAGCGACCTCCCCGACACTGGACTATCACGGTGTAACACGCTCGTAATGTTTCCAAATACTTTGTCCAATTTTCAGACAAACGACGCTTTCGTCGCCCCCCTGCTCCGCCTGAACAACTGTCGCCTCGAGGAGGCGGAGAAGACCCTGCTTCAGCACGGGAAGCACAGCGAACTAATAATATTGTACCAAACGAAAGGGCAGCACACGAAAGCGCTGCAATTGCTCAGGGAGCAAGCGAAGCAGCCGGATTCAAGCCTTAAAGGCTATCACAGGACGAAGAATTATCTGCAGCATCTCGGTATGTCTCCAAATTGAATCTTAATTAAGTTTATTTGCTTAGATTTAGGTCATCGGGGCGCACTTTATTTAAATTTGGCAACGCATCTGCAACCCTACGTGTTGCAAATGTCCATGGGCGGCGGTTATAACTTAACATCGCCCATTCGTCGTCACTTTGTCGTGCCAAATCTCGCCGTATTGTCGGTTGGAATCCGACTCGGGACTAAGATTTGATCGATAAAAACTTGTCCGACACGGGGTGTGCTTCGTTCGAGTCGGTGATTTTCATGTTCGTGAACCTTCCGCGATGCGGGACTATTTTATAATGATATTCCGGGAGTATTTGACGGGCATAATACTCGTTAATTTAGAATTTATTGTGTCAAATATTTATTAAGACGACGCCACTTGATGAATGAACATATTTTATCTAGTTATTCACTGATTTATGTCTTTGATGCGGCAGTTAGATATGATTTAATTAATTAGAGTTAGTGATGACCGAGCCGAGGTATTTATAAGTCCCGGCAGACATCTTGAAAAATGCAATGGAATGCGCAGTACTCTATTTTTCGCCCTCTAATACCAATACCCTATCGGAAGCGGGCGGCAGGGATAATTACCGCGTAAACCAATTTAATTGTGGTTGTACCAAAGTGGACATGGGTTGACTTTTCTCCCTTTATCCCGTGATTTGTTCAAGATGTCTTTCGGGATTTATAGCTCAAAATCCGACCGCTCGTTTGTAAGTGGTTATCTAGTTTGTCAAATTTGTTACTTGCTAGAATCATACAAACACACTTGCCCCGTGTCCATCGATAAGAACTTCTTACATTACATAAATTTGAGTAGCATTATTTTCTCCATCGGTTTATATGCATTATGTGAGCATTTCTAATCAACATCGAAATCCGAATTGAAGTCGATAAAATCCGTAAAAAAGATTTATTCAAATAAAAAATCACGTTTCAAAATCGCAGGAGCGGAACACATAAATTTGATATTCAAGTTTTCCGACTGGATACTGGAGGAACACCCCGAGGAGGGGTTGAAGATCTTCACCGAGGACATAGTCGAGGTGGAGAACCTCCCTCGGCCGAGGGTCCTGGACTTCCTGCTGCGCGAGCACAAGCAGCTCGTCACCCCTTACCTGGAGCACGTCATCCACACGTGGAACGATCCCAACCCGATCTTCCACGACGCCCTAGTCAGCATGTACAGGGAGAAGATAACGGAGAACTCGAACAAAACCGGCGCCCCTACCACGGACGAGGAGTTGCAGCACACGAAGTCGAAGCTGCTCGCGTTTCTCGAAAGGTCTACGCATTACACACCCGAGAGGGTGATCTTGCACTTCCCCGTCGACTCGCTGTTCGAGGAGCGGGCGGTGATTTTGGGCAAGTTGGGAAGGCACGAGCAGGCGTTGGCGATATACGTGCAGATTTTGGGTAAACAGTTTTTTTCTTCTTTCGTTTAAGCAGTGTAAGCATTTTAAATACGCGAGACGTGCGACAAAAGTTTGCAACGAATTTCAAAAAGTACATAACTAACCACTAAATACAAACGAAATAATAACAAAAAATATGTGGAGCCCGCCAATCCGCAGTGGGGTCGCGCGGTGGCCTAGCCCTAATACCATCTGTAAAGAGGATCCCTTTGTGGCGCATGTACGCGCTGTTGCTTTACTTTATACGCACAAGATAATTCAGTTTCTGCGGAACCACTCGGGCGAGCTCTACTCGCACTTGGTCAATTTCCGCTTGCAGGCGACGTGGAGCGGGCGATCCGGTACTGCGAGCAGGTGTGCGAGAGCAACGCCAGCGACAGGGCGCTGGACGTGTACGTGCTGCTGATGAGGATCCTCATGAGTCCGGAGCACAGCGGCGCCCTGGTGGGCCCCCTGTCCAACGCCACGAAGCACCCCAACGCCTCGGTGCCCGATCTGGAGACCGCCCTGACCATACTCGAGAAGCACGCGGATGAAATTTCCCCGCTCAAGGTTGGCGCGTTTTTACGGTTTCGTACCCAAAGCGGACCGTAAACGAGACTTTATTACTAAGACTCCGCTGTCTGCCTGTCTGTCTGTCCGTCTGTGCGTCTGTGCGTCAGTCCGTCAGTCCGGCAGTCCGTCCGTCGCCAGGTTGTGTGTATCTCATGAACCGTGATAGACAATTGAAATTTTCACAGATGATGTATTTCTATTGCCGCTATAACAACAAATAATGAAAAATAGCATAACAAAATATTTAAGTGGGGCTCCCATACAATTCGGCTTATTAATCCTCTGAGCTATGCACCATACACCCCGATTGCACATACGAGATAAAAATTAAAAAAAATTAATTATCGTCAGACCTGGATAGGATTTGAAAAGAAACTTCATGTTTATTTCTTGTTTGGTAGTTTTTAAAAGCTCCTTTAATTCAGACTCATACTCAGCAGTGGCATTAGCAGTTTGCCTCTTTAAAGTTCGTTCTATAGACAGATCAATTTTAATCATGAAGACATCATAAAGCTCATTTGCCATTAATAAACCATCATTTAGATTATTAAAATTAAACCTCACGTTTCCAGTGCTAGTAAATTTCCTCCAAGTGGTTTTCAGTCAAATCTTCATCTCGCTTTCAGCAACTCCTGAATGTCATTTCCGTTTGAGGCCATCTTGTCCTATTCCGTTCACAATTTCGCTAATGTTTGCATTTCACAGTCACAGAAGAGCGGCGTGAAGTGGGTGTTTTATACATGTGCGTTTTGCCTGGTGAGTGGAGTAACCGGGGCTCACTTTATTAAAAGGCAACGCATCACCCTAAGGCTGCACACCCTACGAGTGTTGCAAATGTCCAATGGGCGGTTGTTATCCCTTAGCATAATAAAATCCTTTAAAGCTGTTCATCCGTTTAGATAGGCACCTACTGATGTCTATCAGTAGGTACGCGGAGCCTTTCTAAACCTGACATAGCCTTCTAAGCGTATCGGAAGAAAGGCGTGAGATGCCATAAGCAACAATCTCTTTCTGGATAAAAACGGTTTCACAGAAGGAGACCTATGCTATTCTTGTTGTTTTCAAACTGGGTTTACTTGTTTAAACATTGTTTTAAAAAATTAAAAATCCGTTTATGTATTTAAAAGATGCGCTAGGAACATTTTTTTTAAATATATAAAAGGTTTAGATTCTGTTGTGAATCTGGGGGTTTTCTTTTTTCAGGCGCTGTCTGTGTTGCCAGATTCGGTACCGTTGGGTCGCCTGAAACATTTCTTGGAAAGTGCCCTGGAAAGGCAGCTAACCCGGAAGAGGAGAGTGCAAGTTCTCAAGGGGTTGTTGTATGCGGAACATTTACAGGTCACACTTTTATTACCGCAACGGCCGCACACAAAGATTTCATTTATCACAAACAATAAATTCTTTTTTTGGCTTATTAGCGACTTCAGGGTACAAAATAATGATTTTGCTGCTACTCATTGTATAAACCGGCGTTGAAGCTTTGTGGCATAAATTGGAAATAGTCTCCAAATGGAGACCTATTTCTATATATTGGGATTACCCAATACCACTTTACGGTCGGTTTCAATATTCTATCTACAGATAGATTTGGCTACTAGCGGTAGATATTTGACATAAGCTCCATAATACGTACGTCAGAATTCGATCTCTAGTAACCAAATCTATCTGTAGAGAGAATAAGTAAACCGGCCGTTAGCCTGCTCCAAAGGAATCAATATTGCAATGCTGAAAAATTAGGTATTTCAATGATGGATATTGGTACTTGTGTTAGGAAAATTTTTCCGATATTAAATGGACAAGCTGATTAAAGGTCCCTCAATTTCAAACGAGGTTTCGATACTGATTTTTTTGTTTACAAAACAGCTTCTTGTATCTTGTATAAACTGACGTTTTTGCTTTCACCTGTCCCGAGACTATTAAAGCTTCATCTGACGCAGAACCGGTGGGCTAGCCAGAAGGTTTGTGTTACAAAATAGCAGTTTGTTCTCTGGACAAGTCTAATTTGGTGAACTGGTTTTTTGACTTTCAATAACACTGTTTAAAAAAAAACCTATATTGAATAAACTTTGAATTTGTCTATGAAATTATAATATCTGCAGTGCTGAACTTAAGATTAAATATAAAAAACAATAGAAAAATGGACGAAAATTGTTTAGAATACAAAAACACAATGTAGTCAAAATGCGTCGAGATTTACGTTGTTGGTTAAAGAATCTGGGCGCGAATCCGGAAGACGTGGGTTCGATTCCCGCAATGGCGAAGAACCTTCCGTCCATTTTTTTAACAAATTTTAAATTTTAATTTAAAAAAATGCTATTTGTTCGCAGGTGAAAGAAGTGAAGCAATATCACGAGTCTAAAAGTATAGTAATCAACGATTACAACGTGTGTCCCGTTTGCAAAAAGCGGTTCGGCAACCAGAGCGCGTTCGTGCGTTACCCAAACGGAGACATCGTACATTACTCGTGTAGCATAGACAAACAGTAGGATGTGTGCAGTTCCACCGGCCGCTACAATTCCAACCTTATGCTCATAGTCATAGCGTGTATATTATTTCGTAGCTTGTGTATTGTGCAAATGTATTCCTATTGCATTCTCACTAATGTATTCACCTCGTTGTATTTAATGTATAAATTATGAATTGTATGTATATTAGTAAATTTTCTTTTGTACAACATAACTCGCTTTCATTTTCATCTTCAATAGACGTAAGTGAATACAATCAATAATTACTTAATGCTATTTTTTAAATGAGGAGTTGACGAGAGAAAAAATTTTCACTAATGTGAAACTTTCACTTTCACAACTTAAGCTATTAAGATAATTTCGATGAGTTTTAATAGATTATGGCGCCGCGTGATGTTTTAATTTTTTTGGATCTTTGCAGTATTTTAAAAAATTAAGAAATTTGGTGGTAGACCAGATTAACACGCAGCACTCAGACAGCAGACTCTACTACGCATTCGAAACGTCGAGAGTTATAGCAAAAATTAAACGCAATAAAATTCGTGTATTTACGCATTAATTATATTCTTGTAAAACGCAATAATATTCGTTACTGATAATAACCATAGCTTTATTTAATTTTATTAATCATACGAAAATAAAAAATTTACTAATTTTTTTTAGCATTACGCTTAGCTCGTAGTTAAAAATTGGGCAGGGAGGTTAGTTCTGATAATAAATGTCAATGTGTCATGTTTTTGTCACCCGATGTAATCGTACATATCATAATCTTTTAAAAAAGCCGGCAAGAGCGTCTGGAAGTCTTACCCAGTTCGAATTTTTTCGATGATTTATCTCTTAAAGTTACATTAACAATAAACGATATACAATATCATTTTGGTGGCCGAGAAAAGGACTTTCGCCCCCCATTATAGGTAGAACGACCTCCCCCCACTAGATGGAGTGACGGGATCGTAGTCTTAGGATCGTGCTTAATGGCATTCTGTGGAGGAGGCCTATGTTGAGCAGTGGACTTAAACAGGCTGAAATGATGATGGCATATGTGTTTAAATAAAGTTAATAGAAGGAATGTGAATCGTCAAAATGTCTCATATTTTTTTAAATTGTACAATGCTCTATCTGGCCTAACGTCCTATTTGAAGACACATTACAAATAAAATGTAATTATATTTAGAATTACAGCCAGTGTATTTTTTTTTCTTTTCATTATTATTTATAATTTCTGCGGTGGAAATGTGTAGATAAAACTGTCACAAATGTGTCTGTCACTGTGAAAAATGTTCACTCTTGTCATGATTCGAACGAAATTTTGCGATAGTTTTATCCACGCTTTTTTTGAGTTGAATCTTAAGTGCAGGAAATAGCGCTAAAAATAAAAAAATTAAACCGAGCCGAGTTACGAATACCAATACGCTAAGCGTACTTGCTACTGTAGAGTAACGGGGAACGACTACTATCAAACAGAAGATACGTTTAGAGTAAATTTTCGTTACGTCTGCTAAGCGAGGTAGCCGGTAGTAGACTCTTTTTTTTGTGAAAAGTTGCCAAGCGAGCAAGCGGTTGTTGTTAAGTGAACACCGAAGAGAATTACCTGATGTTAAGTGAATACCGCCGCCCATGGACATCTGCTACACCCAGGGGTCGCTTTGACAACCTTTTGAAAATTGGGCTCCGGCTACCTCACTCAACGCGAAATTATTATACTTCCACTTTACGCCGGTCTTCTGTGAGGTCGCGGTACTTACCCGGACGAGCCTGCCCATTCGTGCAACAGCCGAGGCTGCTGCTTGGCCCTACCACAGTTAAACTCTAGAGAAGTTACGGCGTAGCTTTATTCCACGACATCGTGATGGTCAAGTCGGAGGCTGCTAAGCGCAGTCGAGAGAAGGCAGATCCCAATTTAAGACAGGGTCATCGAAGCGTCTGACCGTTCCCGTTATAGACCAGAGCGATGCTCAGGTTGGTAGTCTAGAGTCATGGCGGAAGAACAATGGGGTCACAGGGGACAGTTAGAAGGGCTATTTAAAAGATTTTCCCCTATTTTATATAAAATATTGACATGCGAGCTGATGATATCCATTATATTCTAAAGTTATGTGTTTTAACATCGACTACATGCAGTAATGTAGATGAAAAATACTTAGGTACTTGCTCGGAATAGCGTTAAAATTGCAAAACGAAAAGCGTTTGTATTATTGGCAATGGCGATCCATCGATGAGACATTGACATTTTTGTTATGCTATTCGCAGCAGAGTAACACCATTTTATTTAGGCCGAGGTTTGCTTAAAATAAAACAACAGCAATTATCTCACTAAACGTTTTGTGCAACTCAGTTTTTTATTTATATTCCATAAAAAGTACCAATAACTTAATTATCACGGGCCACTTTTATTAAAACGTTTTTAGTAGTTTTATATGTCGAATGTACACCCAAGATAATTAATCAACAACATAACTAGTTTGTCAACAGGGCAGTTAGTAATTAATCAAATTATAAGGCATTGGAATTAAGTATAAAGCTGTGTTCACTGTTCACATAGCTTACGTGCATTTTTTTTACGGTCAATAATATTAAAATAAATGAATTATAATACGTTAATTATAATGTATTTTATAAAAATGTCTAATTTTCATTAATCATCTTGGCATCTGCATCCCTTCCAGCAGATTTTAATGATAACCTTATATGTTATGTTACAATTTTACTTTTTCCTTTTAATAATATTTATATTTTCTTGAACTACCTATTACAATAATGATCTTAAACATGGCCCATGGCTGTTGTTACAACTTTCCAATTCCACAGCATGACGTATTGAAATTCGGATTCAATTTAATTATACGATCAGATCATCAATAAAGAACTTCCAAAGAAGACAAAATGTAAAAAAAATTGTGGTTGCATTGATCTATATTGAATCGTAAAATTCATACTAAGCGTAGATTGTATAATAAGTTTTTAATTGAGCATGCTTTAAATAACGTAACAGAAAATTTTTGCTCATAATATTTTTTTTTAAATTCACTAACCCATTGCAGTGTTCAAAGTATTTTTTTTACTGGAATATTTATCATTACAAGTGTGAACGCAACCGTCACTGACTATGACGCGTAATGACGCAACTAAATGCTTAAACATATGGCCGTAGTAGCGACAGTCAACCGTCGCCTCTGTGGCCCAATGGATAAGGCATCGGCCTCCTAAGCCGAGGATTGTGGGTTCGAGTCCCACCAGAGGTATTCGCCGCACTCTCTTTTTATCAAATTACCAACATATACCAAACGCGACGCGATAATTAACATTCGTAGGAACGATTGCACGATATAAAGTTGTTAGTTTCAGTTATTATTTCATACATAATAAAGTAATGTTTTTGGTTTATTTGCATCATTAGTAATTTTTTTCCAATACTTTCTGTAAATTGTTTGAATAGTACTGTAAAGTTTTATCATTTTTGTAATTTTTTTCGATATAACTCTTTCTCGTCTACTAAATATTCCTTTTCCTTTTTAACACGCTTTTATTAGTTCCTATTTCAGTCCCTTTGCTAACCATGACTCATAGGCACCATGGCGCGTTATACTGTACCTACCTCTGTTACAGATAAAACAATCTGTTGAACGATATTGGAGTCGGCGCGAATCGGCGCCGCGTTTATAAAAGTCCCCATATCGTCGGGGGAAAGCTGCTAGATATGATAACGATATAATTTTATTGATAATGCCCGGTGTGGCATCGATCAGTCGATACAAATGCAGTTCCATGGTGACTGTTCGCTAAAATCCACGAAACCAAACACACTGAAGCGCCTTATCGGCGGTTCGTGGTAATAAATAGATTATTTATTCCAAATGGCAATAGATAATTAATCATAATATTGTGTGTAATCATTTTTTATCGAGACATTTAATAAGTGTGTGAATTGATTTGACATATAAGACCTGTTAAGCATAACACCTGGTGTATGATGAAAATGATGGGTGAAAACGACATGGTGTACGGGGACTATTATAACTATGACAACAGTTGGTCGGTCGCGCCGCCCGAGTATGGCGCCGGCGTCGACCCCAACTGCCAATTTCGACAACCCGCTGAAGAGGACTATAGATACGGAACTTATGCGTGAGTATTTATTATAAAAGTGGACACTAATTAGAGATATAATTCGATATATTCTTTCGATTGAAAGTAAATATATATTTTAGGAAATGGATGAAAGGTACTATGTTCCTTCCTAATTAATATCTGGAAGTAGATAGAATCCTGTTAAAGAAATTTCTTTTCATCTAATTCAATCTTCTTAGGTTTAACGAATTCGTTAAACCTAAGAAGATTTTATCGTATATGGTAATCGACATCAATTATATTATTGACATCAGCAATATCCACTACCTACGTCAAACTTTTACAATTGCTCGTTTCATCTCTAATTGAGATTAGATTGATCCTTTCAAATATTCGTCAAAAATATTCTATTGTTTGATTTATTATTTCGATAAATAATTAGACGAAAATGTAACTTGCAATTAAAAGTGCTAATTAAATCATGTAATGAATAGGAGAATATGTAATTAATAGGAATCTTAACCTCATTTGAAAACATTCCTCATTTTGAAGCAATTTTTCGTCTGTATTCCGTGGAGCCGTACTACTGATTATTTCATAACTATTATTTTTTCCGAAAGTCTTTATCTCGCTTAAAGCTAATGTGATCATGTTAATACAGAATAAAAATACAGCCATTTTTATATAATTTAGGTGCAAATCTTAAAAGTTTGGCAAACTGCGGTGTTATGAAAACATTTTTCATAAAGTTAAAAGTTTAAAAGGTGCTTCGCGTGCATACGACCGCTAGCAATGTCGCAGTAAAACAGTCTAGCCGCTGACTTAGTCTAAGTGCACTGAAATTGACTACTACAAGTTGTAGCTTTTTAATGCACGCAAACAATCCTTTTTATTGACAATCCTTTTTATTGACAAATTTTTTATGAACCCAAATAATAATATTAAGCCATGCATATCTTAAAAACGTGGTAATATTTTTTAATATAAATATTAGAATTTATTTAAATTTTTTTGAATATTTAGTCTTGACAACACGTATATACGGGTTATTTTAATCTGATAGAATAGAAAAAAAATGCTCCAAAGCCTTGTAGTACTGTTTATTGATAAAAATTAATAACTTTAAAATTAAATTAGAATGAGGGTTTTCGTAGCCACCTATCAATTGTCAATGTGCAGATTTGCAAAAAAATCACCTTTATTACTGTGCAATATAGTATCATAATACGATATTATGTGTACATAATTTATGTAACTAAGCGCAACGATGTATTGGTACCGCTAAAGGGTATGACGCCTCGGTCCCGTTTTGCTTACGCCGTACCGGTAAGAGTCGGGCGGGTGGTTATGGTTGCGTGTCCCACACCTATAGGCCCGTCGGCGGTGGTTCGGCGCACTGAGTGCCATCGAGCTCGTAATCCGTCAGCTGCTCGCTCTCCCATGCCTTCGTGGAGCCCTTAATTGGTTCGGAAGCCCTCTTCGCGGATTCGCGTGCCGCCGACCATTTGCGCCGAACGCGCCTAACCAGATTGGCGTAACGGAACATCAGTGAAAACCCATCGACTTCTACTCTCTGTCATGCCGAAATGTACCGAAGTTTGCTTAATCTAGCAAGTTTGTTCGTCGTAAACTCGGCTAAGTAGCTCGCGCTGACTGATGTAGGCATTTGTGTCATTTTGTTTTTTATTTTTGTACCTACTTATTAGTTATGTAGGGACGTCATGAATACTGTAATGACGTGACGACCTTGTTTGTGAAGAATAAAGAGTTGTTTAGTATAGCTCTGGGCGCATTATGCAAAAAAATTTCCGCCGTGTAATTTGTTCATGAGCTCAAAGTTAAAGTAATGGATAACTTTGGTCATGGGGTATTTTTTTTCTCGCGGGAATCGGCGCTTGGTACGAAAGGCGCGGACTCTACAGTATTGTGTATTCAAGTTTATAAATTACTTTTCTATCGTGCCTAAAATCATCCTCTATTATTTTATCATTAGCTATTGCTAATACTAAACGATCGTTTATAATTGGGCCCTAATGACGGGCTTTATAAATTGATCTGTTTTGTGTTATAGACAATACGAAGGTTAAGTTTTATAATGGCATGATTGTTGTCTGATAAACATTAACAATAAAATCAGTATTCACCAACTAACTGTTGGGTTCAGTTATGCTTTAAAATTTGTTACTTTGAACCACCGTAAATTTTTTTAAGTTAATCAGATATCATTGCTTAAAGCAAGAAGGGACTTTTCTAACTTAGAACTTAGGATCAATAAGAACGCATTGCGATAAGAAAAATAGATTAAGTTAAATGAATGGAATGACATAGTTAATTCATTGAGTAATATAAAAGTAGTGTAGACAGTTTTTTGTGCAACGAAAGTTAAGATGTAAATTGAACAAAAGACAAATGATTGAATTTATATAATTTTAATAGACTTGAAAACAAATGAAGATTTATAGAATGTCACTTTAATCAAAGCCTTTTTTTTTATTAATTTACAAGATTTGTGTGATACGGATATTCTGGTAAACATTTGGTTAGTCTTGGAACGAATCAGACGAATATTTTAGATTTCTATTAAGAACATCGTAATTCTAATATGATTCATTATGGTATAAACGATTGGTTTTGTTCAGACATGCCCTGTCTGTCCTATTTCCATAGACTCTACGTAGTGTTCGAAAGGACAGATTAAAAATCAATATCAGACTCTTAAATCCGTAAATTAATTTTATTTAACAATTGGTAGTTAACAGCCTTTGCTAAGCATATTGTATTGGACAGATATGGATGATTGCTAGCAAATGCATCCTGATGAAGGCAATAAATCTAGCGTGTTAGGGAGCTGGGAGGTCGTGGTGTATTGAGCCGTGGAACGGAGGGCGCTCGCACCTGCCGTACGCCCCTCACAAATCTGGCCTTTGCACCTTACCTGGATGTAGTACATGAGAACAATGCACATGCTACAGGAGCTAGGGCGATTTTCTTCCGTCAAAAGTTACTTGGGTGATTTTACCAAAACTAGCCGATTTTTGTAAAATTTTAGCGAGTTTCTCTAAACGTTATTTAGCCCCATGTTTTTTCATCGTAAAATTAACCTGATATAACCATAAAACTAATATTCCCGTAACAACATTACGGTAACTCTGTCTTCGTATTCAATTCTATTTGTATGGTAAGTATGAGTAGTTCTTATTATGAAAGGTTTATAAGATTTTACATTTATAGTCTTACGACCAACAGTGCTTTCTTTATTATACAAATATTATTTTTAATGTGAAAAATAAACAACCAAGCAGGCAATTCACCCGATGCGAAGCGATTCTTGTCACCTAATGACATCTATAACATTAAGAGGGAGAAAATAAAAGTTTTTTTTAGGATTAATTTTTACTTTTAGAGCTAGTCTCTTGCACTGAAGATGAATGAAACTTTCAATTTGTGAATTTTTGTTCAATAATCTACAAATATTACAGTAAAAATTGTATTTTAGAGAAATAATTGTTTCGAATTTCCTTTGCTATTACATAATAATATCATATTCAGAAATGTACAGTACCTATCTTTTAATTTTTTCAATAATCTTGAAAAATATAATAATAATAATAAACGTAATATCTCAATATTTAATTTTATCGCTTAATAAATGGATTTATTGATTTATCTTACATGTTTTGATGCACTGGAAATTTAACGGGCGAATGGAGCGATGGCTTCAAAAAGATATTCTAAAAACCCATTCTCAATAAGTCAATTAAACGATTCACGTAGTACCGCTGCACGCCACTTAGGGGATGGTACCCAATATAAATAATTGCCCTTTGTTATGGTTGCCCTTTATTGCTAACGGAGCGCTTACACCTCGTTTTTTTATCCGAAAACGTATATTTTCATACTTTTGGTGCAATATGTAATGATAAAATTTTAGCGATTGCATGAGAGTATATTTAGTAATATAATCTATCGTAAGATAAGCAATCGCCTTTATTGAAATAAAATATTTTAACGATGAATATTCAGAGGTATTCGTATAGACGAATATATTATGTACACACATGAGAACTTAACTGTATTTAAGTGCTCTTAATAGCTTTGTACGCTTGTAATGTTTATGTCTCTGACTCAGATTTATTACATTTAAATTACTTAAATTGTAAATTATCAATCTGTTGAAATAATTTTCAAGTATTAAATTCTTCTAATATTCGCTCTCATTGTAAAAATATGAAATATTACTTCAGTCTGCAGATGTAACATAATTTAGTTTTTATTAACCCTGTATTGATGTGAATAAAAAGTTTATATGAAGTATTTTGAACTTGTTTTGTTTTTATTACGTATATTAAACATACAAGAGACTCAAACGATTATCAATCTTTAATAGTTGTTTTATTTTTACATAATTATAATATATAGTATTTTTTATAATTATTTCTTCATTGCTTGAAGATTTGCAGTAACTTCCTCTTTTGTCTCTTTTTAATTATTCTGTACAAACGAAAGTGTTGTTATAAGCCTTGTTGCACACCTGCAAGTCATAAAACTAATCCGATTACTACTTAGCGCTTGGTAGCTTATTTTTTTTCTGCGCTTCCATATTATTTCCATTTATATAAAAGAGTATGTGGTAATGGGTTAATACAATAAATTAATATTGTAATAAATAATAATAGCTCTCTGTACGTTCCATCGTTTCTTACTGTTACAATGTACCAATGTATCTTTTATTTTATATTATAAGTATTACATGAATATGCTAAGATTATTAGTAACAGGTTTTTCCTTCGTATTATATTTTTTTTTATTTTTTTAATATTATTATTATTCAATAAGTTGATTAATTACTCTATCTATACAGGGAGGCTTTTCTAAGTGTATCCATTTTTTGTAATTAAATTCTAGACATAAATGTTATATAAAAATGATAAATATTTAAAATCACTCATAAGTAATTAATAATTATTAGTAATTATTAAATATTAATAATTACATTCATTTGAACTTATCTCAAAAGTGCGTGATTTATACGCAATTTATTTTACGCGCGATCATTCATAACTAACACGCACACAAGTTCGTTTGTGTGCGTGAACAGTAACATTTAGGTATTTATGAATGACTACCACGTCAATAAGTTCTGTTTTTTAAGGAATAGAATGGTAATTTTTTTTGGAAAAAACAAAAAATTGTTTTTATTTCAATAAACGATTATACTACTGAGTCTGAACCTCCTGTATAAATTTGGGCACCTTTAAAAAAGTCTCCCTCTATAAATGACATTTACTAACTTTTTCTGTTGTATCAAGTTACGGTAACAATTTCAAGTTGTGATTTAATTTATATTGCCCGTAGCATAAAAATAAGGTATGGTTCATCCTATTTACTTAGCTTTTAGGATAACCAGAAATTAGATATTGACCATCTGCTTCTTACGACAGTATAAAATATTACATTCGCGACACAAAATTTGTGGTGAATGTAATATTTAATTAAAACATAAGAACAGTTGCGTTCGTTTCAGGCTATAACTTGACTAATCCCTCCAGTAAAATGCTCTTTTATGATACTAGGATTGCGTATGACTCATATTGTCGCTACACTTTTATACTCACGTAAGCTTAACGCCTGCATAAATTTCAGGTAATAAGTTCAAAATAAGTTCAAGCGCTTGCGACCGGTGATATCAAAGTAACGTCGACCTGCATAGTGATCAAGAATTAAACAAACGGTTCATCGAAAGAGCCGAAAACTATTCTAATCCTCTCGGTGGTAAACTCGGCGAATTACTATCCTACCTCAAACCAGGGCAGTCCTCACCGCCTCTAGACTCCGATTACAGTCAACGGCCGTCGGGGCTCACAGTCCGTACCAAACCTCCATCGCCCGTAGGTGACATTCTTCCCGTTTAAAATAACGCACGCATGAACTAATGCGCGGCTGTACCCACGTGGAGGGCCGTATCAATCGCGTGGATTCTGACTCGCCCATGAGCTTTGAGTTCGATGAAGCTTTAATGGTCTACGAAAGGAAAGCAAATATATTAATTCATGTAAACTAATTTAAAATATTATAAATTGTGGGCTTGTGGGAAAATATGCTTGTTTCTTTTTCTCACAGCAATTGCAGACGGATGGAATTTGCTTATGCACTGTTTAAACACACACAGTTCCTTTAAATTCCGTTTGATTGATTTCAGTTTTGGCTGTTTAAATACTTATGAAAGTCAAAATTAGACCCGTCCATAAAATATTGACAACAATACGACTACCGTCTTATTTATTTATATCGTTCTTTTGTATTAATTCTTTAAGAAGATACCTACGGTACAATTTTTCCCAATATGAAATCTGTATTAGATGATCATGGGAAAAAATATTAATATATTTTATTATCCACGTGATAAGTATACGATTATTATATTTAAATATAATAAGATGATCAAAAATAAAGTCAGTAGTGATTTAATTATATTTATCAGCAATGAGCAAGATGCGATCCCAGCGCGGTAATTTATACGCATCTTGGTTTTCGATGTTATTTACCTGAAATATCATAAATTAATTTTGACCAATAGTAATAGAAATATATTTAAATGAAGCAGTTTAAGTACCTCTTGAAGCGATCATTCCAGTAAATAGTTTCTTCAACATTTTGTTTCGCTTTATAGCGTGCACTTGTTGTTTAGTTCTGTCCGAAGGTCTATATTCATTTTGTTTGAGCGTTCGCTAAGTAGAAACAAATGTGCCCAAACGCAACAATAGATACAATGAGGAGTTGCACACGTGCAAGTCATAAACTGATGGCCCTGGTTTTGTACCTGTTCACGGAATCGCCGTTGTGATTGTTATTGTCTCACCGTCGACAACGTTAAGTACTTCCATATGTGCAAGATCCTTACGGTTACTACAGACGCCCCGAGTTGCAATTGTTTTTAATATTCGATACCTGTGAGTCAACTTTTAATTTTTTATAAAGGCGACAAAGGCTGTATTACAGTATTTTATAACGCGACTATTTATTTTTACAAAGAAATAAAAATATAAAGTATTTTCTGTTAATAGAGTAAAAAGATCGTGTAGAATGACGATGTCAATGCGTGTATAGAATTGTTTGCGTTACACAGAAGTGTCTCGGGCAAATACCGAGCTTACATGGACTTATTAAAAACACTCGTGAATGAAAATCGTTATCCGAGGCATTTAGTGCGGCGTCCATAACGAACCGGGGCCTCAACAATGGGCTTAACGCGCGCACTCATTACAAAAAGCGACATAACAAACGCTGCGTCGAAAGCTCCTCTATTCAGAGAGTATACTCCAGTTTTTTTTGTGCCGCCACCGCGCCGGGATTGGTCCGTCTGGTTGCCGCCCAGCCGGCGGTGGTGCGCGATTGGCGGGGGTCAGTGGAGCACCCTTCAGCGGGCCTGAGTAGGCTGTCGAGGCACGAGGGCGGCGCGGGGTGTTGTTCACCCCGAGGGCCACTCAAGGGTTGTTTAGTGCAGGCGCGACGTCGCGAGACGTAGCACGTGTCCCCGCGGGTGTTTCGCAAGCGTCAAGATTATTCCGAAGTCGAGCTCTCCCGTTCGGGAGATGAAGAGCGAGGAAGGTGAGGGCGCGCGCTCGCCGCCGCCGCTGCTACCGCCGGCGTCGCTGCTGGCTTGGAGCCCTATCCTCCTGCCGCCGTGGGGTCCGGCCTTCCTGCCGGCGCTCTACCCGGCGGCCTTCCGTTCGGCCTTCCCCGGGTGAGGAATCGGATATTGGATATAGGCCCCAGTGATAAGTGATGTCAGCCCACGTCATTAATCGCATTGACCGTTTTTAAACGTTTCTTTACTTTGTTTCCGTTCGTTTTGTATTTTCTGATGAGAATAAGGTGAAAATTATTGAAGTTTACTTTTCAACGTTTTATTAAGGAAGTCTTACAACGAGCAACCGGCGCGATTTTTATTAATTCAACTAAAAATATCGAGTATATTCATACTGGAGGAAATTAAAAGATATACGCATTCACAAGGTGATGCGTGAATTTTATTTATTTAGTAATGATAGAAGGAAATAGTATTTACTTTCGTATACATGCTTAATTACTTTCGTGGGATGCGGAATTAGTGCTAAACAATTTATTCCCGAAATACCACAGTGATTTTTTTGAGTAATATTACGTACCTAAATAATAAAAATATAACACAATTGTTGAGTGTATTTGAAAAGTTTTAAAAGTGAATGCGTTTTATGCAATTTAAATAACATTCATGAATAATACAATAATAATATAATATATTATAAATACTATTTCCATAACGGCAACGTTTTTAATTAAATTTAATTGAGGAACAAATGATGTTTAGCTAATGTTTACATATATTATTTATCATACATTACACAACTTGAAATATTCTACTGCAAAAACCTATTGTTGCTACCCAGCATCAAGAAAACGCTCCACTTTTTAAAATAATGCATTATTTGAAAAGCTTTCGTTAGTGGAAATCCTTAGATATCTGAGGATGGTCGAGAATTATAAATAAACACGTAAGCTGTTGATATTACTCTGTTATTTATTATATGTTGTTTGTTTTCATATTCGAGTGTTCACTTACAGACGGGTAAAGTTTTAAAAAAGAGTTAATACTTCTGTAAATCTTTACTGTACAAGTCAAAATCTCAAGGGTAGACCAAGTTTCAAATTAAAAGCTCTAAGAATTGATTGTGAGAGTTTATTGAAAACGCTCAGTAATATATTATATATTGGTGATGCATCATTCATTTGTTTAAGAAACTTACACAATTTTCAACGCAGATTGAGCGACTATGGTAGTTATTAAAAGAACGAATACATGACGTGTTGGAGAAACTACAAAGACATCATGTCATACTCATACAAGACTTTTCAAAGATATGTTTAAGATCGTTTAAATCGTTAAAAAATTTAAATATTTTCACTGCTTTTATAATAAATAATAAGCAAACGAATTAAGTCGCGTTCCATAATGGCTTTTTATCAAAAAACTATAAAAACCGTTTTCGAAGATTTAAAAAAAAAACAATTTACATACACCCAAATAGAAAATTCTAGTAATTTAATTTTGGAACATATAAAAGTATCAAACAATTTTTTTCGTGTTACACGCGAGCGATGGCTTGTGACTTGTGACAAACCATCATCAACAAAACCGTGGCGCTCTTAGTGAGAGCCTGTTAATCGTCCTGTTTACAACCTGCCGCGGTCCTTACCCGCGCCGCCTTTTCACGGCGTCACGTACACACCCCGAGGAAATGGTTCACGCTTATGTGCAACAACATTCTGACGTTTTGATAGACACGCCGCGTGTGAGAGAGCATTGTGCGATTATGCGCCTCCCATTATGAGAGTCACGTATTTTCGAGAGGTCCTCTCGTGACAATCGGACGGATGATGGAATTTTGTGTTTTCATTCAATTACTCAGCCCTTGAGGCGGACCCGTTGATGCCACGCTAACTTCTTTAGACGACAGTGCGGCGAGACGATTTTGGAATGCGTAAACAGTTATCTGAAACGGTTATCTAAGTGGTGTACGTAAGTTAAAATGATAAAAAGCATGGAATAAACTCTATCGCTTGTTTTTCGTAACACAAATTCTATTTAATAATTCGATTATTAACGAGAATGTCACTCTAGTAATTTAGAACTAGTCTATGCACATGTCGCGTTGAAATCTTTTGTTTATGTAAAGTTTTATATTGTAACTGGCATTGAAAAGTATTATCGTATATAAATTTCACAAATTTGTAACAATAAAGGTGACTCAATTCTGTAAGATTTTTGTAAAAAGATAGATCATAGTAATGATGATTCGCCAAGCTTTATACATTTTAGAGTAGGTTTTAATACAGCATATCGCGTCCTTTAAAAAAAAACAAAAACATATACGATCTTACCAAAAAATGAGGCATATGTATGTAAATATAAAAAAGTTTAACGGTTTTGCTGATATATTTCCATTTGTTACAGGCTGTTAGACAGCATGAAGATGCCAGGTCAGCGTCCAGGATTTCAGATCTCGGATATCCTGGGACTGAATGAGGCAAAAGGCCTGGATAGTGCACCGACACAGGGGCCTCTTGGCTGTGGACCTTTGGAACTGCCACCGTACGCGCCACCACAGCATCATTACTCTCATGACCTGTTAAGACATCACCAACCTTGGCTCTCTTTGGAACAACATGAACCTACTGGTATGTAGTTATTAACTCTTTGATAGACATACTTATGCTTAATGCTATTACATTAATTATAGAAATTGATAATGTTGAAGGGAAATTATGAATAGAGGCAAAGTGAAGTATTTAAGTTTTAAATTGGAATTTTTTTTATTAACCTCTTACGGTCCTAAATATGGATGAATTTATTGTGGTAGTGCAATAAAGGCTTTTATTAACTTTATACATAGATATACCACGGCCGCACGCAAAACTGCGTGCAGTAGAAGTATGTATTTTCTCGGTTAATCCGGTGAGTGTAGTTAGGTTGGAGAGACACCTATCTGCAACCCTACTGGTTAGGTCAATCTGTCTCTGTTTAAGACAAGCTCTTGATGAAGCTTTCCCAAGTCCGTAAAAATTTAAAAGGAAACCGGCACCCGTGAAATATGATACAATTAAAATATATTGCATTTCATTTGGCGGTACTACGGGAAATGTATTGCCAAATGTTTCTTATCTTGCTTGGATATTCGGTGTAGGTTTATCTTAACTAACTTAGATACTGTTATCGATATTCTATAAAGACAAGTCTGGTAAGAATGGTCTTCACGAGATGTCAGTTTTATCCGACGAATGCGATAACAGACGTTTTACAACCAATGACTGAATCGATATTACGTCAATATCTAAACATTTAATGTGCGTAAACTAACATTACATTCTGTTATAAAATAAACACTAAATTATTTTTTCATTTTATTTTTACTTTATTTTAATATCGACCATTTCAATTAGGTGTGTCTAAAATATATAAAGCTAATTCTGATGTACTTGAGATACATTTTTAGATGTTGCACTCGTAATACGATCATTTTATTAAACCATTAAGTTTCTTTAGAAAAAAGTTTAAAATGAAACAAAAAAAATTGTAGCCCCTATTACACTTTTTTACAATTTAACACTTTAATGGTGTATTGGAATGTACATAATCGGAATCTCGAAAACGGCTCCAGCGATTTTATTCTAATCGATCTAGCTAGGTTTCATTTTTAGCAAATGTCCTTTTATCCCTGTTTTCAGGGAATGAAAAATATCATTCGAATATGACGGTAAATTTCGCCGCAAAAAAAATGTTATAAGAGCTTGGTCGGTAATCGGGCAGTCCCAAAACACACGGCCACGGTTCGTATCACGATCATTTACAACTTAACTTTAACATCTAACTTAGCTTTAAAATACATGATTTACAAAAAAAACCGAGTAACTGTTCTCCAGGAACTAAAATATAATGAATAAACTTTCTTATCTCTTAACAAGTGAATGCCAAAAGTCGCCTTATTATTATAACCCTAACAATGATTTTTTTGTTTTACAATCTGGAAAACCAGTAATTCTATCGGTTTGTATCAGATCACGGTTTTGTTTTAATTGTCGTCCAATCATTCTCCCATAATTTAACTTTAATACTTTTTTAAGGGAATATTGGCCACATCCTCTAAGCCACATCATATTTTCCTTAGATATTTGTTTGCTAAACTGTTTATGAACTGCTACATTAATGGAACAATTGACAATGAATGTATCCGGAGGACAAAATCCTCTCTCGTGGTCATTTTAGCTGCGGCTGCCAATCGATGACAGTTTTGGGTACACTTTCCTTTTCAATTTGTTATAACTTTATGGCTCGCTAAGATATACTCATCGTATTCATCCCAAATGATCAAATACCTTACTCAGTATCGTTCCATATGATATGTCTCTATGTCATATATCTTCTTCTGTAATCATCTGGGATCATGGATAAAGTACTGGATTGATTTAATTTAATAATTTTAAGTTACATTTTTTAGACTATTTGCCCTTGTCTAAAAATAATTTGATGGCTTCATTTAATGTAAAGTTATTAAAGTTTATGAACGCGTTACAACCACGAGCTGTACCAATTATATGATGAGCCAAACGTCATCAGGTTCATTAAGATCGGACGCCTGCGATGGGCAGGACACGTGGTGCGAATGGACGAGGACAGAGTACCCAAATGCCTTCTGGAGGGCCGGCCGGAGGGCCGCAGGAGTAGAGGCAGGCCCAGGCTCAGGTGGTTAGATGGCATCGAACAAGACACCAAGATGTTGGGGGTTATAGGCTGGAAAAACAAAGCCATGAATAGATCGGACTGGAGAGATTTGCTTGACCAGGCTAAGGCCCACCCGCGGCTATAATGCCTCAGATGATTATGATGATTTTAAAGTTTATACCGCATGCTAGCTCAGTGTTCGGGAGCTTGCTTTTGATTCAATATACTTGAGAAACCTGAGATCAAATTCCGGTGCCGTCACCAATATACTTTTTAATTTGAATTTTAGTGCTGAGTTATTAGTTGCCCGGCGGTGAAGCAAAACATCGTGAGATACCTGCATGTTTATATTTCGAAGACCTTTGCCCAGTAGCGGGACTACATACAATATGTAGGCTACATTAATTAACTGTTAGAACGAGGTGTGAAACATTTACTATTCGTCATATCCGAAATAATTTTACTATTTTAAACTCTTACCATTGATTAACCTAATTTAATAAAGCACTAGTACGGATTGAAAGCCCCACACAAATATTTTTTATTCTGTTTTGTAGTATTTGTTGTTATAGTGGTGACAGAAATACATCTGTGAAAATTTCAACTGTCCAACTATCACGGTTCTTGAGATACTGCCTGGTGACAGACGGACATGCAGACATTAGAATATTAAGCCACTTTAATTGTTTCAAGCCTTCCTCCTATCAAAATTGTGATAAAAAATATTGACATTATTAATTTATAATAATCCTTTATTCTAAGTTGGAACATAAGTCACAAAATATGTATAAAGGTCTGCCTGTCTGTCATGAACCGTGATAGTTAGACAGTTGAAATTTTCACAGATGATATTTTGTTTTGCCGCTATAACAACAAAAACTTAAAACAGAATAAAAAAATATTTAAGTGAGGCCCCTATACAACAGACATGATATTGTTTGATGTTTTTATAGATAATGTACGGAACCCTTCGTGCGCGAGTCCGACTCGCACTTGGCCGGTTTTTCATACACATATAGAGATTTTATTTTGCTCACAACCTTTTCGATTTTCTTTCCTCTGCACATAAAACAAATTGTTAATATATTAGGCAACGCAGACAAAGTCGCGGGTGTAAACGAGTAAAACATAGTACAGAATCACTTTGACGGCATCGCGATCGGTGCGATATACCCAAATAAACGCGGTGACCCACTCGAAAGTAATAGTCATTCGGTAGTCGTGTTCGAGAGGCCGAGATTATTTTTTGAAATGCTCCTCCAGTGGAGTGCCTTCACCCGCTAATCTGTAGTTGTCATTAATTATTTTTATCGCTTATCGAACATTTCGGCACTCATTTCGACCGCACTTTCCGATCGCTTGTTAATACTGCGCGGGCTCTCGTGCCAGATAAGATTTAAAAAATACGTACACTATTTGAATGAGCTTGTAGAATAACAAAGAGGACGATTACGGCTGCATATTTTTTTTTCCACAAGAACGTTCTGTGCATTGTAAAATTGAAAAAGGAATCTTTGATTTCATGATGAGGAGAGTAACAAGATTCTTCAAAAATTATTTGCGACCAAATACTGATTACAAAGAAAGTCGTTTGTCAATTTTAGTAGATTTTCGTTTTTTATAACCGGCGTTGTATACAGGTTTCTTTTGGACCTTCGAATGTCCCAAGCTAAGATCGCTCCATATAGTTTTAGTGGTCTCTTAACTTGGTACATTCGATGTGCCAAAAACTCAGGCGTTGCAATTAGGTACATATGTTTAAACTAATTTATGACGAATATGTTGATTATTATAGTTATAACGCAAGTAACAAACTAAACATTAGGTTTTAAAGGAAATAATGAATATTTTTACGTGAATAAGTCGTTATGGTGTTAATTTTAGCAGCATTTCAATGTTTTTTGGCTTCAAGTTTGTGCCTCTCGTGGAGGTTATATACTGAATTGCCAGCTTTTGCTTGTTACGTAACTAGTTACATATTTCAATCAACATTTATTATCGAAAATAAATTTGCACGTGCGCGCTTGCATAACGTTGTTTATAATATCATATACCTGTAGCTTTACATGTAGCATCTACACAGTCATCAAAACTGTTCAAATTTCGAATGCCACAGTTAAATTTCCCACACGTCGCCCCAATTAGCGAAAAAAGAATTGAAAATCGCGCGGGACCCCCCGATGAACATAAATCGTCTTTAAACGCGGCGGTCTCCGCGCGAGTCGCCAGATCGTTCACGCCCTTCGGGGGTCGATCGAGCCGCTACCAGAGCGCCGATTGTTTAACCGTTGGGGTGCGACGCGAAACGAATCTGTCACCAATAGACGCCGCTCATGCCCTCGTGACTGGCAGACAGCTGCCGGCTATCAATTACACGGTGTTTGCGGCTATTAGGGACGCAATACGCTCACCATTCGATGAAGTTTATAGATTTTATTGTTCCCCAGACGTATATTGACGTGTCGGATCGCTCGTGGGACTTTGCCCTGAGCAATAGTGATGTTCGTCATAGTCTAGTGCAATTATTTTCAACCGCTTCATCGCGAGCGATTTGCGGCGAAGGTTAGTCTACTCCGCTAACTGAATTTCAATTCCTGAGTGCCGACGAAACCGCTCGGCTCGCGTGCGTCTTGCCGCTGTCAGAAGTTGGAACGACCACATTATTGTGCCAGTTCGGTTGAAGCAAAAGCTTTTGTTAAATTTAGAAACATTTCTATCGTCATTAGTACAATATTTTTGACATGACCATATATGCTTATTAAAGCAAAATCGTAATCAAGCGATAAATTTTTCAAATAGTCTAGCGTCAAAATAAAGTCCGTTTTGTATTACGTACAGTATCATATTTTTTTTTTGTCGCAATCCCGTTTTGCGAAACAGTTTAGTGTCGCCCAAGTATCTTCCGTGGATGCTCTTATTGATGTAAATGGCGCGAGCGAACAATAGGAGCCGCCAGCTGCTGGGGGTGGGTGTGGTGGAGTCGGCTTCACCCCCAACCCTTAGCCGTTCGCACCACGCCCAACCTCGCGCCCGCCCGTAATATCGCAGCCGTGTGAAATCATCGCATCCACGAGGGGTGAGACGGGGCGCGGCGCGATGTTTGCCGTGATTCTTTCGGATCGCATTATTTGTACGCTGTTATCCGAAAGCCGCTGTAGTTGGAGTTAAATAGAGCGCAACCCCAACAGATTATGTAAAGATTAAACGCGTGTTTCATTGCGTCCGCTTCAACGTGCATCGGTCAATTATGATTCTCGTAATAACAGGGCCATAAACAAATATTTATAGCAAAAGTAGAAACGTGATTTTCTAATGCATAATTGGAGCTACCTACGAAAAGAAAGGTCTATTCTATGTGTCTATATCAGTAAAAGCTTATTCATTACTCTTAATCTTTTGTCTTTAGGTGGAATTGGTCAACAAGCGAGCCCAGATAGCACTTCCCGCGCCTCCGAGCTGTCGTACGTCGGCGCGTCGGCCTCCTCGCCTCCAATCAGTGACCCGCGTCACGACAATGACCTCGACCACGAGCACGACGACATCGACCACGACGACGACCACGAGCACGACCAGCCCGCCAACGCGTCCGGTGATCCGGGCCTCGCTCACAAAAAACGCAAGCGGCGCGTTCTCTTCTCCAAAGCACAGACGTACGAGTTAGAGAGACGGTTCAGGCAGCAGCGGTACTTGTCGGCGCCGGAGCGGGAACATTTGGCGAGTCTCATACGGCTGACGCCGACGCAGGTGAAGATCTGGTTCCAGAACCACAGGTACAAGACGAAGAGGGCGGTCCAGGAGAAGGGGGCGCACGATTTGAACGTTGGCAGCCTGAACTCGCCGCGCCGCGTCGCCGTACCCGTCTTGGTGAAAGACGGCCGGCCTTGTATCGGCAAGCCCGAAGGCCTGCCCCCGCTGGGCATGTCCCTGCCGCCATACCAGCCGATGCACCACCAGCCCCCAGTGGGTCACGGGTCCCAGCCGAGCGGTTGCTGGTGGTGATAGCGGACCAACTCGAGTCAGTGATTTCCTAGTCGTCGGTTAGATTTCGCGAACGAATGAAGCGAAATAGTTCAGTAAATGATTGCGTTTAGCGTTTAAAAAGTTCGCACGTAACTTATCAATCCATTTCCAAATCATTATGTTTTTACTGTGTCTTTTAATTTTATAGATAACAGGATTCGGATTGAATAGGAGTTGAAATTCAAAGTTACCTCGAATAATAAAAAGTATTAAGGACTCTGCTTAGTTGTTTGCAAGGGTCAAATGTACACAGTTCCTATTTAATTATACGACATGCGTTTCAAACGTGAATTTAATAAAATCAAAACATAGCAACAGAGTTTTTGAAAAAAAAAAATATTGTTAACTTAGTTCAGTCTTCAGTTAACAACAGTACTTTCTGGTTCCTCTGATTATAATGCATAATATGTATATGTAAGAATAATGTAGCAAAAATGCATAATGTTTTTTTTCTAAAATTATGTCTTAGCTGTGACAATCGCAATGTTTCATTGTGAAACATTTTAACACTTAAGTATATAGTACATTCCAATACCCATTTATAAAAAGTATGTAAAAAGCTAATGAAATTGTTAGTCCTAATATTATGAGTATTGACCAGATTTTATCAGAATGCAATATATAGATGTAAGGCTCAGTATTATAGTCGAATATAGTAGCTTAGTAAATAATTATTTATGTATATTCCAAATAAAATGATATAAATTTACGTAATATGTGGTTAATCTGCATTATTATTTGTATATTGTGTAAATAATTGATTCGACATACTAAGAGTAAGTTACCGAAATATGGCATTGCAATGTGTGGTAATATGCCATCATTTAATACCATTATGGTGCGTAATGTTAAAGCCTGTGTTATTGGTCTCTTGGCTTTTACATCATTGTAAAATTGCCTAGTCTAAGTAGAAAGACAACTATAGTGAATTTGTAAAAACTATTTTAAAAATAAATTATTATTATGTGAATATTTAATTGACTGTATTTTATTTTTTAACTTTAATAATCGTCTATAATTATAATACGTCGGGGCACACCATGATGATTGTGGCGTGATGACTGTTATGCCACAACGAAGAACGGATGAAGGCAATTTACAAAAGACTGGAGAATTTTTAGAAGGCCTTGTTCGACAGTGGTAAATATTGAACTAGTAAACTAACATATGTATAATTATATAGCTCCAGTAATTATTATGGTTATCGATATAAATCAATAACCATAAAAAAGTACCACGACCAGAGTAAAAAGTAAGAAAATAAACTGAGAATTATTTCAATTATATGGCACAAAATAGTGGATCTCTACGGTATATGATGCTATAAGGTGTCAATGGTTTAGCATTATTTGTATATGGTAGCAGCGAGTACATATAAAATTACTTATTTTATATATATAACAATGCCATGACCCTCGGGACCGGCTATGAGTTTCATAATTGGTAATCAAAGTTTAGCATTAACCGTAAAAAGGCTTTAAAATGTACATACATACTCATAACTATGTACATAGTTACAATGAATAAAATTAAGGGCAACATCATCTGCCTTTAATTTAACCTGTTAACCTAAACGCTTATTATTTTATATTAACCTCAAAAAGTAGAATCTATTCAAGTAATAGGGTGCTTGGTTATTTCAATGATCTTATTTCCAAGAATATATGGTTGTACATCAGCTGTGGATAGGTATTTATTAGACTGTAACCTGTCACAAACATATTTCATATTTCACGATATATCTAGCAGTATTTATTTACAAGAATCGGTCGCGATAACCGATAAAGCTTTCCTTGAGATAACGCATCGTTTGCCTATAATGAAATCCGCACGTCATTGAAAATATTACTTCGGTTATCGATTGTAAAAGACCGCTGGAAGAAACCTATTTCATTATTGGTTATTACCCACCTCGATTGTGCATGTTGAATAGCTTTCTCTGTTATATTTAACTACTCTTGAATCACTCTATCTAGTAAAAAAAACCACATCAAGATTCGTTGCGTAGTTTTAAAGATTAGATCTTACATAGGTATAGACAGACATATGTACTTAAATTAATTAATGTCATAAATTTTATTATTTAATAATAAATATTTTTAATACTAGGGTGTAAAATAATATTCATTCACATTTTAATAAAACTGTCGACAATATCAATGGAAATTTTTCCAAGAAGTTTTTCCACGCCAATGGAGTTTCAGAGTAAGTGTTCTTACATGCATAACGCATATATTAATTTTACAGAATAACGGAAAGTACAGAACGTACAGAAGAACAGTCACAAAGCAAGTTATGAATCAATGAATGCATATTCTGTATTTGAAGAAAAAAAAGAGCCTTCATGCTTAGTTTTACGATGGACGAGCTTATTACTAACAGTAATATCTTTCAATAGGTAAACGATGTTAAGACTAGTTTAAATGGGTGTAGGACATAAATTATAAATTAAAAAATAAATAAATTCAATTATTATAAATAAATTTAAATTGTCAAAGTATGAAATTTTGTGTAAATATTTATTGAAAGTCAGTTACAAAAGTTCATCTTGTTGAGGTATTAAGTAGTATACATTTGCAGTATCCAAACATAATTTTTCATCAATTTTGATGCGACGTGGCTCGTTCCTGAATTTGGTTCAATTGTTTCTTTTGCTATATTTGTTGTTTTATCATGGAAATACTAGGTGTTTCAGGTTTTAATATTTATATCTTAAAACATTACTGTTATTAAATTAAAAGGGAATAAATACAGAAATCAAATGCTTGAAGTAGAACAGAAAATACATCAAAGTAGATTAAATTAAGATATAGAACTCATTAGGCGTTTTATTGACTATCTTTTATGTTATAAGACAAACAACGGAGGCTTATGTTCGGTGTTTTACTTAGGTACCTACGTAGGTGTTTCTGCAAAGCACATATCTCAATGTCGTCAGAGGTGGATGCCATGACGGCGCGCTGTTTGTCAGTTAAATATTTGCCGGACCCGGGGTTTATCTAATCATGCTGCCTACTGCGATAGCTTGCGACCCGATTACTCTATGTTTGCTGGCCACAGCAACATTCTTCTTTACACCTGTTCTACTTTTATGGAGTCTATTTTATTTAGGTTACGGTATACAGCAACTAAGTGCACGTATATGAATGCAAAGACCTATTACACGTTTTACTTTCTTTAAATATAAATTTCTTTAAATTAAAGTAAATTCTTAAAGTATATCATATACGTTTTAGAATCTGAACATGATTTTATTTACGCAGAAAGAACAGTTATTATAAAATTAATTTAGCGGATTCATTCAGATCAACACAATTTGTAAGACGAACTTTGTACTATTTATAAAATTTCAATAGATCTCTCATTTGTGATGTGGTGTGGGTTAATGTTATTAAATATTTTTTGATAATTACAAAGTCCTATCACATTTTTTAGTATTCAGAATACATTTTAAGGATGTATCTATCCAAATGAATTAATTATAAATCTTTGCTTATGAAAAGTTATATTGAATAATTCTGTCTGACGACGTTTTACCATTAAGTCGTCAAGTTTACGTAAGTTATATTTCATTAAAAACTCTCAATGTTTCTGTTTCTCTCATCCTATAATTTCTTAAATGCTTCCCTAAATCAAACCGGGAATCATTAAGTTTAATCGAATGCATTTTTCGCGCCTGTCGAAAAATCTGTTAAGACTCGAAAAGTATATCTCAAATGTACCGTAGTCACGTATGTCCCAAGAAACATTCGTACTTGTATCTCACCGAAAAAGCCCACAACGTTGACAAAGGGCGAAACGCCTCCTTGCATTGATCGAAAACACATTCAACAAAGCATCGTCGCCGTTTATTAAATAAATAATAACCCCGCGCACAAAGGACGGAGTCGTTGGTAGCTCGACAATGGGCAAACAAACTGAGAATTAATTTCGATGAATTCCCAAAACTCCTCCGATCCCGTCGGTGTAAAGGGCCGACAGAAAGGCGCGACTTTCGAGGCGGGCGTTTAAGCCGATTAGTTCGATACAAATAGGGCTTTTCGGCTGCTGACATATGTGTGAATGTGACGCAGCGCCTGTATGGAATCCTTGATCGGTGAAAAGGTATTCGAGTGCACCGACCAATCGCACCTTAAATTACCGTCGTCTAATAATTGTGACAAGGTTTTTTTCTACAAATCGTCACGTTGCCATGACAGTTCTGCTGTAATTGGGCCGAAGACGTTGTGGATTTTCCATCTTCAAAAGCTACGTTTCGTTTGTACTAGGGGTCTTTATCATCCGTATCTTTGGCTTTGGTGAAGCATCTCTACGTTTCTATTTACTTTTACTAACGCTCAGTTTTAATATTCTTTCTACAGATAGGTTTGGTTACTAGGGATAGGTATTTGACGTTAGCTTCTTATTACTTACTATCAAAAATCAAAATCAAAATCAAAAATATATTTATTCACATAGACGCTTGCGCGTTCTTATGAAATGTCAAAAATTTTACATAAAAATTCGATCTCCCGTAACCAAATGTAACTGTAGATAGAATATTGAAAATGGCCGTTAGTTCACAAGTTTGATGTTCTAAATTGAAAGGTGATGGCTTATTGCATGATCTATAGCGTCTAAATTTTGCGTTAGTCTGAGTATTCATAACGAACATAATATGTTTGGCAAAAACAAAAGCTATTAGCCATTAGTAAAACATGAAAATAGAATTGAATGATTATTTATTCGCGCATTCTGCATTAAATCTTTTCGTCATTAAATTTTTCATAAAACCAGTTTGAAATTTTTATATGAATACTCAATTATTTGTTAAGATGTTATAGAAATACATATCTATATACTCAAATCTAAATAAAAATTAATGTGTATTTGTGAATATAGATTTTGTATAAATATCTTTGATGCAGGTGGTTCAGGGTCGTGCTCCTTTGCAGTCTGTAGAGTAGCCCTATATCTACAATACAATATCAGCCTAT